GCCTTCTATCTGCGCAGGTGGACCTATTCCATCGTGATCCTTGCGCGTGGGCATAATTCTTACAACGACGCCGGCTCTGCTCCTGCTTTCATACTCGAGCAGTCACGCCGTCCTTCGTTTGTCCATCTTCTGCACGCAGGTTCGTAACATTTTCCATGTTCAAATTCCAATCGACAACCACAGGCATTTGCAGAGAGACCAGGACTGCGAATTCAATCTTACCGCCCTAAAACGTCTCCAGCTCTTTCAGGCTGATGGACGCGGGGCCCCGCAAGTTGATGGTTGGGAAACTAGTTCTTGGAATTAGTTCAAGAAACGGAGAGGAGCCGTGATCCATAGTGATGGGGCTGGAATGGGCTCAACAAGAGGCCACTGACTAGAGCAGTGCCTAGCTCACCCAGAAGTTGGTGTTTTTTTTCCTCCTTCGAAAAGGCCAGCCCAGTCGTGACAGTCCACATATCAAATGGTCGAGACGCCCTCGAATTCTACCTGATGATGTCACGACTTGATAATGATACAAACGCTTCACTTTGCAGTTGTGATTGCTCCACTTGGGCAGCCATTCTTCTTCTTGCGCGTATAGTCCGAACAGTCAGCCTTCTAGAAGAGAGCCTCGCGACCGTCTGGCATTGTTTTGAAAATGCTAGCAGTTCGCGTCGGGCACACCTTGTGATTCTAGCCCTGTATCTTGATGGTATTCATAGCGTGCACGCATGGTTGGTACCTAGTCGTCGCGGCGGGACTGGAACTCGGCAAATCAACAGACACCACAATGCCAAATGGCTAATAAGCGGTCACCATTTGTTCTTGCATTATCTAGCAGAGCCAGGGCCTTGATTAGCTTCGGCCTTTCTCTGGTACCTTGGGGCGCCGCTGCAAAGCATTTACGCAGTAACAAACTATGTATGTGGGTTATCGTACCAAGAAGAGAAGAAAGAGGGCTGCAAGTTTCTCAGTAGATTCGACCACGTCGGAACTGCAAAGAGAGAAGAAACAAAGCCCTTCCTCTCTCCACCCAAATGCAGGTAGTGCTCGGCGAGATCGGGGAAAGCTACGGCGAGATTCCCACCAACTAACGCATTGGACCTAGATTCCTAAACTCAGAGGGCATTTGGCGGACTCGAGGTCGGCGGTGTAGATTCCTTCGTCCAAGTGAGAAACAAGTGGGATGCTCGGGAGGCCCCGTCGGACGGGCGTATTCTGGAAAAATCTAGCGTAGTGCTTTGAGAATTTCTGACTCATGTAGTTGGAACTTGGGCCTCCTTTCAAACGCTAGAACAAAAAAAGAAAATTACGCAACGAGCTCTCCAGGGCTTCTGTGTGTTCGCAACATTTCTCAAATGTGTGTGTGTGGAAAGGTTGTGGTGGTATTCCGCAGAGATATGCAGGCACATGTGAAAGAAACAATTGGGGTTCCTGCCCAGGAACAAAGCCAACCGGAGCGCTCTTGGGGGAACCCAGCGACAAGGATTGGACGCAGGGTTTCTGGAGGCGCTACGATATACATGTCAATGTATATGTGCATCTCACCACACAGCGATGGCCAGGTGGCGCCTTTCACGATAGCGTTTTGCGTGCGTACCTATCAGTTCATCAAGAACGACGCCAACTGCAGAAGGTTTTGCCAGTCGAGAGTCTCTGCTAGTATGTGGTGCAGGTTTGCCTGGTTTATTAGAAATCAGACTATTCCCCCTCTGTTGACCTAGGCTCTGCTACACGCCAGTCCTATGTACTTCTCGGGCACAACGGAAACTTGAGTCAGGCGGTTGGCACTTCCATAAACGGGCGAAGAGCGCCGGTTTGGACAAGTCTCAAGTCCACCGCAGATTTTTATACGTTGTTCTCTAGGGTGAGCGAGGTAACGCCGAGACTGAATATGAACTCGGCCCTTGTTGTGAGTCTAGAGTCTTTTGAAGAAAAACGTGTCCTGCGAGTATTTGCGGTTCGTTATCTCAGCCCTGTGGTACGCTTTTGAGCTGGTGTCCTCAGGCTGAAAGGCGGACACTTCTCGGTGCCTTTCCGCGCAGAAGCATGTGAAGAGGATGCCTTTTTTTCTCTTTTCTTTTTTGGGTTGCGCAGGCAAGCAACAAGGCATCTGAATATCTACTTGGTGCATTTTGTTCGTACGGTACCTGTATGTACAAGTTTTGCGGAATGGTGATGATTCCCCAGATCAACATGGAAAATTGGAGTTGATCTCTCCGTTACACGGAGGGTGCGGGTTGAAGGAACCTATTAGATCTGCAACTTGTCACTTCCCTTACTATGCTGCACCAAGAGAGCATCTGGCCCAACGAATGCTTGGTAGTTTTGGGCACATAGTAGCGCTTCACGATAGTTCACATGATAGCTCCCAGGGAGGGGCACCTCCGTGGTTGTGGTTAGGCAACTGGATACTATGGTCATGAGAGCAACTGGCTACCATGTCGCTTGACGGGTCTGCGGAAGCGCTGTGTCTTGCCTTTTCCGCCAATTCGTTCAATGGACGGACGTTCATTTTGCCGGGTATGGCTCAGGAAACTTGCACGCAGGATTCAATACCCAACGTGGATGAGTTCGTCTGCGCTCTCGGAGAACACAGTCGCTCAATTGGTGCAAACCCCTTTGAGATGGGGTTCACAGTAAGCAGAGCCATTCATTTACCAGATGATCCAGGGTCCATGTTTGGGTCTTTCCTGATCTGACGGGAGCAGTCATATCTCTTCGCGTAACTTGGGGAGTGTCAGAAAGGGAAATGCGAAAACGGCAATGGGCGGGTGAATGTGCTACTATTTCGGCTCTCAGGGCCGGAAAAACCACAGGCTTTGCTGAACGGAATCTGGAACCTAAAAGAAAGGGGCCGCTGGGGGAGAAACAGTCGCAGAGTCTATTGGGACGCCTTTGATTGGGCTGACTTTAGGAGAAATTCCCTGTCATTGTCGCGTGTGTCCGCAAATCCGCCCTCAGCTCTCCCGCGGCCCGTCCCCGTGTCCCCCAGCATTTTGGAGGTCCTACACACCCTAGAGGTCCAATAAGTATGCTGGTTGATTATCTTGTAGCTGAGAGGCGTGCCACGTTGACAGCGCTCGCTGGCCTGTTAAGACACTGCCGGTGAGCGCTACGCTGTCAGTCATTTTAATAATGGCGCCTGTACCTACTTCCTACAGTCGGGGGATATTGGGAGCAGCAAACCCTTTTTAGAAATTGTTCAGACCGCCACAGTTGCCTCCCACGGCAATCACATTGCCTGCAAGTGGTCGAGTGCCAGTGTGCTTGTTTTTGTTGGTGGTCAGAAGAGACGCAGACAAGACTAGGTGAAGGAGCACCGCCCAATCTTCATTGCAGTTAGCAGCTGACAATTCAGCACATCAAAAATGCGAGCGACCATGTTTAAAAATGGAAATGCCAGAAGTTTGGGCAGCGTCTAAGAATGGGAGCCGGCCCTCCATCAATGACCGATCAGGCAGTCAGCTGAAGGAGTAGTGCTTTGTCTTGTCCGTTGGCGTCCTACTTTGCTACTCTCCAACTTCCCCCAAACCTTTTGTTGTAGAACAGGGGTGTGGGGTGCAAGAAAACGCTGGTCAAAGACTGGTCTGGTAACTTCCGTGGACAATTCACCCGAGTCTCTCTCTTTTTTTTTCTCTCTCTCCCCTCTCTCTAGTACGGTACAGTACCTCGGGCATGGAATTGCAGGCACGGGGCGCATTGGTTACTTGTCAGGTACCCAATGTCAAAGGCCCTCGTTGCGCGGCTCATCGAGTGTCGCTCAGGTACGGAGTACTGGGACCTGAATCAAGTGGTACGTACAGATTACTGGTGAATGCAAGTGCCCAAATTTGCTCATGGACCCTTTTCTTGGTCTTCTTCCATGTCAAATCCACTCCTTGCACCGAGTACCCCAAGTCCCAGGTTTTCCATTCTGTCGATGGCACCGCGTGCACTGCACCATTGATGTACCGACTCCAAAAAAGAAGCCCAAGTGATCTATTGCATCCCCTCCCCAGTTTTTTTTCCCCTTGTCCTGTTTTCCCAAATCCCACGATCATATTCACCATCTGCCCATCCGACTTTTTCCTTCACCGTCAATGTTTTTCTTCTGGGTCATATAGCTTTGAAATACTTTTGAGAACTGTGCGCCCAATGGTCCGAACGTCTGTCCTCTCTCCTGTCGTATAACTTGGAGTCAGGCACATGCAAAACCACATGCACTGAGATTCAACAAGTGGATCCCGGCCTAATAACAAGTACTCGCAACTGAAATACAGCGCATACATCACACACACTACATTACCTACCCATCTACTACGTACATATTCTTACATCACCTACCTACATCTCGACGATTTGAGCAGAAGATTGCACTACCAACCTCGGCAGCAGCAGAAGCATTATTATTATACCCGCGTCGCGACTGATTTGAGTTGAGACCTTGTGTGCCCGATGCTCAAGCCGCGAATGGGCTGGGATTGACTTCAAGAGCCACTCCGCCGCCGCTGGGGGTGCTCCGACCGTTACGACTTGAACTACTACGATATATTGTCACGAGGCCTCCTTCTCCTCAAACTACAAGCCGGGCCGTGAAAGCATTCGTTTGAATTGTTAGGCACATTTGACAATACCTACTCAGACAGCTCTGTGATTCGACGCAGACTGAGTCATTCTACAACACCAAGGATTCTTCTCAGCGCCACTTACAACCCTTTGCGTGAGTAGTTCACCAACCTGCGCCCGCAATCATCGTCTATTCTGGGCAGTCCCGTTGGGTCTTGGCCAGAGCGTTGGACAGGTAGGCATCAGAAGCATCAAAGTCTGACAGTCTCCAAGGCCACGTATATTCGCGAGACGCCCCGAAAGTTTGCAAGCAAGCGGTGCCTTGATTGTAGTGCACCGGCAAAACTATAATAGCAGCTGCTCCATTTTTTCCCTTCTGGTGCAACACCTCGCGTGTAGACGCCTCGAAGCTTCCCTTGGACCCAAGGGATACGTAGTTCAACGTTGCCGTTGCCTCAATGACTCTCACCATGTCAAGGATGCCTCTCGACTCATTCCTGCCCTCGGGCGCGTTACTCGACCCGAACGAGCACCCCGTCACCTTCCCCGGCCTCGTGCCTAGCCACCAAGGATCTGTTATATCTCCCTTGGCCCTTCCGAGAAATGCGAACCAGCAAGTTTCTTACTTTGACGATCGCCAATCGCTCGCTGGCCGACACCTCTCCACTCATTCTGCGCAAGCCCAACTACAGAGTCAATACCTCTCACCACTCCGAAGTCCCCCGACAGCTGGTGCCTCGAATTTGATTTCCCCAACTCTGTCACCTTTGACCGATTCTGGTGAACATACGGCAAGCACCCAGTTGCGCCGAGTACTTATTCAGAACCGACGACTACTTGAGAATTGGGAAGCCGAGCGTGCTCACTTGGAGGCAAATCGATCACGCGCTGAAGAGATCTACAAGGAAGAACGGGCCATCATGGACGAAGATCGTTTGATCTGGGCTGAGAAAGAGGCTCAGTATCTTGCCCGGATTACAGATCTGGAGCGAGAGAATATCGCCCTCCGAGAGTCCATTACTCGCAATACGAGGGAAAAGTCCCGCGACTCGACAGCCCGCTCTCCTCTTGGGCTCGGCTTGGAGCACTCAGAAAGGCCCGGAGTGAAATTCCGCTCTCTGCAGGACAGCACCTCTCCGATCGCTACTCCCGTCATCGGACTTGGTCACACGATGCCCGAGTCCCGCCCCTTTGTGCCGCTGGACCCCCGGATGCAGGGATCCTCTACGCAGACTAGCACGCCTGGCGACGGTCCCGAAACAAAGGAAAACAACATCCCTTCGATTGACGTGCAGGAGGTCCACCCTGATTTGGAAGGAATCCCGCTCAGGTCTACAGCCGTCAAGAAGTCGACTTTTACCGATGGAAAGCCGCCATCCCCGCCTCTCTCAGGTTCGAACGTTACTGGCTCGAATCCGAACTCAAACGCAGGCTCGCCCGGCAGTGGTAGCAGGTCCAAGGCAACGCCTGCCGAAGTGACCCAGGAAACACTGCAGGCACCCGAAGCATCAAGGCTCACTATGCACGCTGGACACACGCCGAACCATTCACTGTCGACATTTGCCACAGCTCTGTCCACGAATGCGACGAACACAGCCGGTAGCTCCGGCGCCTCTACACCTACTCATGGTCAGAGCCACGGTGGAGTTGGAAATGGAGCTGCGTATACCGATGGACAGCAGGATCATGCCGCAGAGGACCCTAAACCCTTGTTGGAACCCAGCGAGCGTGATCCCGAGCTCAGAGGGCCTCTTTCTCTCAGGAACCAACAGGCATTTGACGAGATCTTTCTAGGCAAAGTGGCTGACAAATTGCTCGACTCAATTCAAACTGACGATGCTACGCCAACGGTGTTGAAACACGGCGCCGATGAGCCCGAGGTCGTGCAACCAGTTCCAGCTGCTCTTGACGAGGACGATGAACCGCTGAAGCCCGAGGCAAGCGAGGATGTTCCTCTCAAGTTCAAATCAAACTCCAACTTTGGTGCTCCGCTCGGCACTCTGCAAGGTTTCTAGAAAGAACCGTCGTCATCGGGCGAAGTTGTTGAATCCTTATCTCCAACAGCCGAGCTAGCAAATGCAGAATTTGCAACAGCGGGAGAATCTGACGCAAACAAAGAGGGTTCGGATGAATTTCGCGACCCATCTGATAAGCCATTAAGAATCAAACGAACCTCGAATTTCGGTTCGGCATTTGGGTCTTCCGGCTAAAAGGCGCAAGCTAAACATGACCACAAGTTTACATTATCCAACATACAACATACACAAAAAATTCCCTTTGTATCTTTTTGGCTTCGCTGGATGGAGCTTTCATCAAACAACGACATTCAATTGTACACGGACCGACGAGAAAGACTCGGAATATGGAGAACAACATTGTTTATTTTGGAGCGCAACTTTGAATACCCCTTATGATACCTTTTTCGCTTTCCAAGCCAGCATTGGCTACTTGCTGGACAGCGTTTCGCGGGTCGATTTTCTTTGTTTTAGACTTTTGGACACCAAGTTTGGCATGGGCGGCGCACGTGTTCTAGACTGGGCAACGAAAAAGAGAAAACTCATCGTTATTGGCAGAGCGATCATGGATGATCAGCTCAATGGAGGTATGGATGGCCGTGATATTGCGCGCGCAGAACATGGATTTTTGACGCGAGAAGAGCGTCTGTTTGGAGCACAGCGGGAAGCGGGCTAGTTAAAGGACAGGTCAAATAATGGCTTGCCCTTTTGTGAGAAGATTTTCATGGGGGACGATAGGAAATCGGTGCGAGGAGGTATCTGTATAGTTTGAGACTACGCCTTATAGCTGAACAAATCAAGTTAACACCCACTACTTTCAGACCTCTTTCAATATCTATGCACTGCGTCCCCACACTGTCTAGTTGGCCTTCTCATGTGTTTTTCCGGGCTCGAATCCGACATTGAGAAGGAAGCAAGTACGCAATACTGCGACGAAAATGGTTATCGCCGCCGCGGCATAGTCCTCCTGCCGCCAAGCGTCCAGAGCGAGGCGACCTTGCTGCCTCTGCGAGTAGTATTGGCTCCACAAGAGGATGAAATCGACGACAAGGACAGCGGCCTGATTAATCTTCCAGACGCCCAGATCCGAGGTATAGCGAAGTAGGACGGCAAGGTGAATGGCCAGCATCAGATAGAGACCACCGGTCTGGTGGAACAGAAAGTCCTGGTAGGGATTGCGCGTGGCAATGTCAACCGGTACCACCGACGTCAGACCCAGATCCGGGTCCCAGAAACACATGAAGCTTGTGCCCAGGCATACGATGGGGTCGACGATGGTGAACCAGAGGCGATAAAAGGGTGGGATGGGTTGTGACCCCAAGGTTTGTGGTGGTGCCATTGTGACTCGGAGCGTTCCTTGGTATTGTGATTTTGTGGACTTTATAAGGTTGATGATACTGGATGGATGGAATAGCCTCACATCAGATGGGATGGAGTTGGACGCCAAAGAGGAGAGATGATGGTTTGTGTATTCAACATTGGGAAGCACTATGTCCTTTATTAGTGCTTACAATGGAAATATAGATATGGACCTGCCAACATATATAATGCAGGTCACGTGGTGCTTTACAGACTCATTGGTTGGAATTGCCCGTGACAGCCAAGTAAGGGATATGTTGGAATCACTTTTACAAAATGATCGTGGTAGATTCTGGTTGATTACATGCTTACAGAGATCAGAAATCATTGATACGGCTCTTTATGATCTTGTCTTATAAGTCGTTGGAGGGTACGATGAGCGACATTTAATTGGACTTTTTCTCATCTGATCATATTTCAGAAAAATCGAGTCATATATGTATTTTGAAAGAGTTGAGGTTATCTTTCGTGCATGGTGCAAGACAAATTCCTTGGGGGCATCAATGTGGGCAGTCGTCGCTCATTAGTCTTGGGCAACAGGACAAAAGCGTCAGTACAAAAGAGGAAAGACTGAGAGGTTTTGAGTGAACGATATGAGCATTTGAAGCTCTAGTACAGGCAAGTGTAGTCAGACCTTGTATCAGTTACCATTTCATGGTTAAAGACATGCATGTGCTGGATATCAGTGGTATTGTTTCGGAATATAATGCCGTGATGGGGGCAATCCATTATACCTAGTCTGCCTCTACGCCCACCAGCAGTTTTCTAGGGGTAAGAAACGCCCCGAGTCGTGCAACCTTCGTGAATACTTCTTCTCTTCAACTTTTCTTTCCATTTTTTGAATCAATTCATGCGTCGGTATGGAGCTAAGATGAATTCAGATGCATAAGGGTTCAGTTGACAAAGTGACCATGACCCACCACATTGAAGAGGCTCCGGAGGATACGGGATACAAAGGCCCTAGTCGGAGATAAGCTACCAAAGCGTGGGGCTGGACCCTTTTCACCTCCACTGAAATAACACTCGCTCAGAATGAGTCTAGACATCATTAAAAGCTCCAATTTGGCCATCTGCAGCATCTCGAGACGGTTGAACGAAGGTTTTATTGGTATAGTTGTGATCATAATCCTAAAGCATGAGAATAATTCTCGTATCTGGGCATAGCCTGACATGCCGAACGGGTTCATCTGAGCGATGCTACATCTAGCGTAGTAAGTAACATATCTAGGTGGTAGTAACTAACTTGCTCCTGAAACGTGGTCGCACCACGAGTCGCAATTATACTTTACGACTTGAAATGATCGTGAAATACGTGATACGGAAGAGCTGTGGGTTGGACAAGATTGCGCGCTGTAGATTTAATGAGTTGGGGGTCAATATTTGCTGTGGACATGATTGATTTTTGCTGTCAACGTACCTATGCAAAATTGCAAGAGCAGTTCGGTTACCTCCATATCATTGATGCGCTGTAACCTTGTAGTTTAATGCTACAAGAAAGCTACCCTACTGGACGCAGATAGGGCACGTCTTTTTTAGTAGGGGACTTATTAATCCAACGCACAGTTGCGTTGCACTGGACCCCTGCGATGATCGCTGCTCACTTCAGGATTGGCCCCCCTAGTAGGTACTTCAATGCGGCTGTGACGCAAAGCGGGCCCCGCCCAAGCCAAGTGGGATGGGAAGCGATACGGATTCCCTACTACCCAAGCCACGCGCCGCGCGATCTCAAGGCTGACACTTGTGTGTGTGAGATATTCCTGCAACAAGCTGCCGTTTTTTCTTTCTTTCCTTTTCTTGTCTCGGATCTAAAGAACTCGGCAAGGCTAATTCTGTTGCCTCCTTCATTCGATATCAAGACCAACAAGCTCTTGTGCTACACTCTTCCTTCGGTGCTGGAAACCGGGTCTGGCTGCCTTGCCTTTGGCTGTGTGGGCACATGCAACAGGCAGCTCTTAGCTGAGCATCGCGATAGTTTCCTTCTCCTTTGCCCACGACGTCCCGATCGAAAACGAAGACTTGCGCCAACACCTTTGAACCTCGATGATCGCACCTTGAAACGATATATTTGGCCCTATTGAGGGTTCGTCTGCATGATACCCAGAACAATGAAGCAGGAGGCTTATAGGCCCTATTCGAAGCGAGCTGCCCACCTTTTACATCATGGCAACTCGCCCAAGCCGCTACCGCTCATCGACCTCTGCGTCGGCAGCACAATCAATATCGAAAGCTGTTGAAGTCCTGCAAAAGCTGTTGGAAGGGGTGACTACTGTACTCGTCGTAGAGACGGACCATGGATACCCAGATGCCGACGAGCTCGTGAAACATATATCGCGAATTCGACAGCATTTGGCTGCAGCTGCTCCGCCGAGCTCTGTTCAGGATGACTTTCGACATTTGCGGGGCTTTCATCGCATCTTTGAGGTTCTGCGGGCATATTCGGGCTTTTACAACCCCCAAAAACGTAGCGAACAGGAGAAGAAGAGTTTGTTTGGCTTATTAGATGCCGTCTTGGGCGTCCTGTCGGCAGCTTTCCGCGGCCATCCAGGAAACCGGCGCTATTTTCGTACACGAGTCGAAAGAGGCGGCTGGGAAGCCCTGGAACAGAGCATCGCGAGCATTGGTCTCGGTGGCAGTGACCTGGACTTTTGGACCAGTGGCCAGCTTTTCGGCAAGCTCCTCGCTTTTGCGCTGAACGATCCGGCCTTGGACCAGCTCTGCTCCACTGCTACTTTACATAACATTGACGTTCAGCTGGATGATGTTTCAAGTAGCTACGAGGTACTTCCCAGGGAGATCATCAGCGAAGACAATGACGGAAAAGCCTTGGATCCTGTTTCTCAAGTTCAAAAGGCCGTCAACGAGGTAGTCGGATCCAAGTCGACCCTGCAGAACCCGGAAGTGATCCGCACCATCGTAGATTTCTGGGTTTCCATGCCCCGAGGCAAGGATACGAATAATGGACTCATCTCCGTCCTTGTGCTCCAAGTCCTCGAGGCAATTGTCAACGTGTCAGAGTACAACTTGTCTCTTGTACATGAGTCAGGCATATCGTCTCGCCTGATGCAGCTGGCATTTGACCAAGATTCATTTCTGGATGATGCTGAGAGCGCAATAGTGCTGAGAATCTGCAAGAGACTCATGGTTTTGGGAGTTGGAAGGCTCGCTGATGCACAGGCCCTGTTGACGAGCTCGTCAATTCCAACGGCCGATTTCTGTTTGGAGATGGTCCAGAAGAATCAGAATCCTCCTTTCATCCAATTCGATCTATCGCTCCACGGCCACTCATCCATCGACGTGCCAAATCTGGGGAGATCATTTCCTCCTCAGTCCTCTGCAGGATACACATTCAGTGCTTGGGTCCGTGTGGACAAGTTCGACCCCCGATCACATACCACGATATTTGGTGTGTTCGATGTAACGCAAACATGTTTTCTTCTGATCTATCTTGAGAAAGACAGTCGAAATTTCATACTCCAGACTTCAGTCAAGTCTCAGCGCCCTAGCGTGCGCTTCAAGTCGTTTACATTTGAGGAAGGCTTGTGGTATCATATTGCTCTGGTACATCGACGACCAAAGACAATGACCCCCAGCAAGGCCTCGCTCTATGTAAACGGAGAGTTTGTAGAACAAATCCGAGCCCCTTACCCCTCTCCGCCGCCGCCGATGAACTCTAGCACCGAGAGCTTTGCGTCATTCACGTCAAGCAGCACGAGGACGCATCCTGTCTTGGCATTCATCGGCACGCCTCGGGAACTTGCTACATACCTGGGTCACGGACTCATCACTACGAAAATATCACTTGCCTCGACGCATCTCTTTGAAGAGGCTTTAAGTGATGAACTCCTGGCCGTAGCCAGCCGGTTGGGACCTCGATATCAAGGTAATTTCCAAGACTGCTTGGGTAGTTTTCAAACGTACGAGGCCTCCGCGGCACTGGGACTGCGGAACGACATGATTGCAGCTGGTAAAGATGGGAGCTCGGATATTCTCAAAGTCATACGCGACAAAGCTGGTCATGTTCTACCCGAACAACGATTGTTGCTTAGCATGATGCCGTCTTCGATATTCAGAGAGAAAGATCCACTCGGTGACTCCCAGCTTTTCCGGGCGCTATCGCGGGGCCCAGCTAACACTCTGGTGCAAATGACTCTCAAGAACGGCATTGGTGTAGCAATCAACACTGCTCAGCCCTCAGTCAATGACGCATTGATGCGATCGAATGGAGTCTCTGTGCTCACCGGAGAGCCCATTATTGCTGTGCCCCAATATCTAGATGACACCATGTGGCGCCTCGGTGGCTTTACTCCCATAGCACTGAAACTGATCGAAAGAGCATCATCTTCAGAGTCTCTTCTGCAAGCTGTTGAACTGGTGTTCCGTTGTGCCAACTCGAGCTGGAGAAATAGTGAGGCTTTGGAAAGAGATGGCGGTTACGCGATCATCGGCATAATACTGAAGACCAAGCTCGGCATGAACACTCCTTCAGCTGGAAATGATAAAATCACCGAAAAGCTGCCTATTGAGAGCATCGAGAAGGACAGGCTTTGCTTTCAGCTCCTCAGCCTTCTCCTCGAGTTTGTCGGATATACTCATCACGATCCCCTCGAGTCCGTTATCATCAATCCTTTGGCTTATCGCATCCTCTTGATCGACTTTGATGGTTGGAGAAAATGCGCGCCCATCATACAAGAACTCTATTACAAGCAGTTTGTAACATTTGCTGTAATGAGCAAGTATCACCAATACAACAACCGTCGCTTGTTGCGCATGCGTAAGTGTCGAAAAATGTCCTTGGAAGCCTAATATCTTAACACAGTGTCTCGCAGGTATTGTGAAACGACTCCTCGATGCCCTGAAAGCCGAACCGCTACCTTCGGCTGTTTTGCCATTCTTTCTAACCGCCCTTGAGAACCTTGTCAAATGCAATTACAATACGGAAGTTCATCGCTCTATTGCCTTGTTCATTACGTATGCTTTCCACACGCCGCCAGCATCGCGCCCACGAACCCCGAAGCCTGGATCAGCGGCTTTGAAGACAAAGAACCTATCGACGCTGCGGCGGCCGACATTAGAAGGCGAGACCACAGCAGCGAAGAGCTCACCCTATTTGACTAGGAAGGCAATCGGCATCAAGATACTTGAAATGTATAGCCAACTGCTCTGTGAGAAGGGAAACTTGATGATCATCCGCAAGTTTGCTCGGACTGTCACAAACAAGGTACTTGATGATCGGCTGCCAACCTATCATTCCAGACTGACATTTGCTCAGTGGCTGCTACAATTATTGTCCGAAGACAATCCAGAAATTGTTGTCCACGGATGCAAGATACTAGCCAGGCTACTAGTGGCTCATGGTACCACGTACACGAGCAAATTCTCCGGCAAAACCGGAGGTTTCTTTATCATGGCCCATCGCCTTAAGAGGTGGTGGGACATTCCGACCCTATGGCCTATATGCTTGAGCATCCTCTTTGGTCATGACGTGGCCGAGGTAGATTTCGACCGGACGTTTGATTTCTTCAGCCTCATTGAAACATTTGGAAAGTCAAGAGTGGTGCACCCGGAAGCCTTGCCGATCATCACTTCCATGCTGCAGCATGGGTTGAAAGACGTTCTCAAGAACCAGGAGGATCCAGACTCGCCATCGGGTGATCGGTCTCCATCAGCACAGATAAACTCGATTTCCCCTGCGTTGATCACTCGGCCTCGTGGTAGATCAATGTCTCTTCTTGAAGAACTCGAGACACGGCGTAAGTTTGCATCCTTCCCTTGCCATAGCCATAGTTAACAGTTTCGTAGCATCTCAGTCAGCCCGTGATAGGGTAGCTAGCAACGCTGCAGCATTACAGACAGTCCTGCGCTTCTTGTCCGATCTTCATGCTCGATCTTCAGACTTCAGAGATTTCGCCCTGAACTCCGATTATGTCAGGCTATTGCTTTCCGCGTTGTATCCAGCGTTGGTAAGTACTGATGCTGTCACCCCTGAGACCGAGCTCAACTCTCGGGACTCTGCTCTCACATTCGAGGGCAGTGACGTGATTATCCGCCCAATGCCCGGCAGTTCTGCCCCGGCGCCGATCGTCAGGACTGCCAGTATCCAGGACCCAACACAAGATACGCCTGCAAACAGCGCGCGTGGCACCCCGCTACGCAAAGCTTCTTCGTTCATTCTCCTCACATCACAAAAGTCTCCTCAAGCAAATTCCTCACGACTAGCACATGTCATGTCGCCGAAGAAGAAGGTAGCCTCGCAAAGTATTGGGCATACAGTCTTGGAAGGTATGACGGAACTCGTCGTCAATGTCTTTGTGGATCAACTCTTGTCTCGAAAGGAGTTCCCAGGCTTCGGTTTGTTTCTCAAGGTTCCACCAGGTTTCCAAGAACATCAAGCGTTCTTTGAATCCTATATCTTGCAAAGGACCATCAATCAGATGTCCACGACCGTCAAACTTGATTGGCAACTCCTGCATGAGCCAAAGATTCTTACCAATATGGCGCGCTTTAGTCTCCACATGGTAGAGGCCATCTTTGAAGGTTGGTTCATGAACGGAACTGAATCGATGCTCGACTTTGCGGGTCTTCTCCTTGAGTACCTCCAGAAACCAGAGATTGCCAGGCTGAAGACCGTGCGGTTGTGCAACCAAGCAGTCTCCACAATCCGGAGCTCTTTCCTCAAGCTAATTCTTCTGAGGCTGTCTGAGATGGACGATTCTCAGACTACAGAGATGGAGGCCAATTTCTCCATGAACAAACTCCTCTATTGGCAAATGGTAGTGTTGGACTCCCTATCCGTGGAGGACGACTACATGAAGCTTCTTTGGTATCAATTGTACCTCAAGCTTGTCGATTCTCGAGAGGATGTGAGACTTGCTGCAGTCAATCTTTGGCGTATCATGCTTGTTCAGAAGCCGGATGAGTGTTCGATCCTGTTTCGGCACTTCGTTATCCCCGAGCAGGGAAATCTGACCAGAGACTTCAAAAAGCTCACCGAGCTCGACAACGAGGCCTTCATCGCGTGGGTTGACGACCATAGGCCTTTGCTAGATGGCGCGTTTTTCAATGGTTTGTCGCGCACCTGGGAAGAGTTTGTGAGCCTCGAAAACCAGAGAACGACAGATACAGCACGGTCACGGTTATCCAAGCGTAGAGAGACGCTCAAGCGATGGCAGGTCGAGCTCTTGGAGAAGAATAAGGTGGTTGTGCATCATGACATGGCTAACAGCGCATGGATGAAATCAATCTACGGGTCCGAACACTACAAATATCAACGCAGTATGCAGGATCAGCAGGACGATGTGATATACTTTTCGTCTGCGTTCGGTAAAATGAGCGAAAACCTCCTTCGCCCTGGTGCTATCTTCTATCAACCTCGACCGACGAAGTGGAGACTCGACAGGACTGAAGGCCGGGACCGCATGAGAGTCCGCATTCTCCCAGACTACTCATCTCAGAATGAGGTATTTCAACCAAAGAGGAAGACAAACGACTCGCAGTCTGCCTCCAGTCTGAGACTGAATACCAGTGCTACAACAACGGAGAGTCCCAGTGTCAATACAGCCGCCACGCCTGTATCGGCTATACCAAAGCCAGCCGAGGTAACGAATCTCGAAGTCGACGCTCAGGAGGTACCATCTGAGACCCCGGAGCAACAGACTGACGTTTCGGACAATCAGTCGGTTGTACCAGAGGATGAATTTGAAATGGTTGACGATCCGAATGATCCCGACGGCCAAGATGGGTTTGAAGACAAGAATCGTCGTGTCATGCGCCGACTTGAAACCCACGACGCTGTCCAGCAAGTCTATAATGTCTCTCGCATCATTGGATTGGAGACATGCGAAGGTATTCTTCTTGTAGGGAAGAATAATCTGTACCTCATGGATAACTTCTTTCAATGTGCTGACGGCGAGATTGTAAATGCCTGGGAGGCTCCCGAGGAAGAACGAGACCCATTCTCGCAGATCGTCATGGGGAAGAAGACGGGGGACAAGCGGGCTTCGTCAGCACGACGCTCGCAAGATTCTCGCAACTGGTCATGGCAAGACGTTATTAGCATCTCCAAGCGTCGATTTCTGTTGCGAGATGTGGCTATTGAGATCTTTTTCACTGATGGCCGGAGCTACCTTCTAACGGCTATTAATCCAGCTACCCGAGATGAGGTCTACAACAGACTGCTGAACAAGGTCCCGCACACTACTGGTGCAACTTCTCTGCCTAGCCCAGAGGATACTTGGCGACTCGAGTCCCTAAGAGTTTCAGAAGAATCGGCACAGAGTCTGGGCTCAAAGTTTGGAAGTCTCTTCAACTCATCGCCATGGAATCCTGTCATGCGCCGGTGGCAAAGAGGGGAGATTTCCAACTTTCACTATTTGATGTTGATAAATACCATGGCAGGTAGGACATTCAATGACCTAACCCAGTATCCCGTGTTCCCCTGGATTCTTGCCGACTACACGAGCGATGAGTTGGACCTCAACGACCCAGCCACATTTCGCGACCTCTCAAAGCCCATGGGAGCACAAACACCAAGCCGTCAATCGGATTATGCGCTTCGCTACCAGAGCCTGGCGGAAATCGGTGAACAGCCATTCCACTATGGCACGCATTATTCTTCCTCCATGGTGGTAGCATCGTATCTTATCCGATTGCCGCCATTTGTCCAATCGTATATTTTGCTGCAAGGAGGAACCTTTGATCACGCCGACCGACTGTTCTATTCAATCGAGGGTTCCTGGAAGTCAGCGTCTCGAGACAATGGTGCCGACGTGAGAGAACTTATCCCCGAGTTTTTCTATTTGCCTGAATTCCTAGTGAACATGAACGGATATGACTTTGGCGAGCGTCAAGGCGGCGGTGGAAAGGTCAACCACGTTCAACTGCCCCCCTGGGCCAAAGGCGACCCAAAGATATTCATTGCCAAACACCGTGAGGCATTGGAAAGCCCATATGTGAGCCAGCATCTCCATCTTTGGATTGACTTGATCTTTGGGCACAAACAACGTGGAGAGGCTGCTGTTGAGAATATGAATGTGTTCCATTGGCTATCCTACCACGGAGCTAAAGACCTTGACCAAATCACGAATGCCCATGAGCGGGAGTCTACGACCAGCATCATTCACAATTTTGGCCAGACGCCGCATCAGGTCTTTACGCGACCACACCCGTCAAAAGAACACATGAGGTTCCCGGCAAAGCGACTCGATACCTCATGTGCCTCTCTGGCAAGAATTCCTCATCCCCTACTGGACAGTCACGAGCGGGTAGCGGCTCTCCATTACTCGACAAAGTCCGATCGCCTTTTGTGCTCGTCTCCATTCCGCCTCAATCTGCCACCTTTCTATGATAAGTATCTGGAATGGGGCTATTCTGACAACAGCATTCGCTTCTATTTCACGGAGAATAGGAAAAACGCCGGCATCAACGAAAATCTCCATATTGGTCAAATTTCGTGCATAGTCGTGGCTGACTCAAAGACCCTGATTACCGCCGGAGAGGATTGTGTGGTGTCCGTGTATAGCATTCATACCTCAAGCGGCAAACCTGTTGACTTGCAGCTGCGTTCATCACTGTTCGGACACAAGACCCCAGTCACAACTATTGCAGTGTCCAAAGCCTTCAGCACCCTCGTCACAATATCAGCCGATGGCCACATTTTCCTGTGGGACCTCAATCGACTCGAATTCATCCGAAAGCTTCCTCGGTGTCCGCGGGCGGTCGAATGCGCCAGCATCAACGACGTGTCTGGAGAGATTATGATTTGTTCTGGACCGAATGTAACACTGTATACATTGAATGGAGAGCTCCTTCTCGATCAGAACGTATGCATACCAGGAGAACATGACGACTATGTCCAGTCCTGCTCCTTCTACGAAGGATCTGGCAGCGAGTGGCTGGAGAACTTCATTGTCTTCACTGGTCACAGAAGAGGAAGAGTCAACATCTGGAAGCGCAATGTGAGCAAGAATGGGAAATGGCTATTCGAGCCAATCAGACGACTCGACCACGTTGATGCTCGGAGCGAGACAGGAGCAAACGTTGAAGCGGCAATCACGTGCATTTACCCAACGCCGCAAATAGTGTACACTGGGGACGATGATGGCAGAGTGGTAAGCAGAGACCTTCAAATTGTTCGTCCAGAGACCAATTACTGACTAGTGGATATTATAGTACGAATGGAATCTGATTCAGAGAGAGAGGTAGAGCCTTCCCAATGATCGTAGATCTTCCATCGGGGGTCTTTTTTGGTTAGGTCGAGGCGAAAGTAGAGACGACAATGACTTGTGAGCTTTGTGGAGCCGACACTTATAGAGCCTGGAGTAGCATTTGTCCATTGATCGAGTCCATCATGGTCGATATGGGAGCCGCACATGGGGCGGCACTCTGTGGGAGGAGATATTGACAACGACTCAGATCTACAAAGGACATTCTGGCGTTCTCAGGCGTCATGTTTTGATTGGAGGGTACAGGTTTTAGGCATTGCTGGAGTAGCATAAGCGATAGATGGCAAAGGATCCCCCCATATAGGAATAAGAATCAATGTGTTTGAAGCGTGATGTTACATTTTGGATGGCTTTCTAATTCGTGTCCTCCTTCCCACTCTCCGTAATCTGGAGAGTTGCTGGATGCTGTGGCTCTGTGTCCTGATTTGGACTTGTAGGTGAATCGGCAAGCTGGCATATGTACAATGTGTGCCTCTGCGAAGCTCATCATCACTTTGCCGATATCCCCTACCATTTCATTTCTGCTGACCCCAAGTTGTTCATTTATCCACGCCCTTTAGTCCTCATATCCGCTCAGCTGTTTCCTCGGTCCTGCAGGAACTATTGTGCATGTTAGCATTCGATACTGTTTTCAAATTGCAGCCACTTTGGTCCCTTCTGTATCGTCATGTCGCATTCCCACCCATGAAATCATGTGCCATTTTCTCGTGAAATGCCTCCCCTCCTCAAGATTCTCATTTCTTTCGTCGCCCCCTCCTCTCTGGCTTCATGACTAACCCCACCTCCATCTCCCGGGTGCAGCCTCTTAACGATGAGGGCGTAATATGGATTCAAACAAGAGACCTACTGGGATATGTCATGGGAATCGGCTTCGCCCTCTCGTAGCCGAGGCGCTTCTGGACCGGAGGAACGGTGGCCAGCATGATGAGGCCAAAGGCGCCCAGGGCGACCGAGTACAGGTAGGCGGGACGCTCGCGGGCGGACCAGCGGATGTACCGCAGAGGGCCGTTGAAAAATGCTGGTGTCGGGTTCGACATGGTTTTGTGAGCTTCTGGTGCGTCTGCTTTCCTGACAACGTGCTATGTTAGCTTCGTCTTTCATTTTCTTTTCTTTTTTTTTCCCCCTCCGTCCCTAATGCGCATTCTTTGCACAGGTGTCGGGCAGTTCGAGACCGGTCGTGGCTGTGGATTTGCCGGGAGTTTGGAAGGTGAGAGACGTACGTACACTCACTCAATTGGCGCTCGTTGGAAGCGCTGGTGGTTGTAGAGAGCTGGAGTCGAGGCAATTGGAATCAGGCGGCGAGCGGCGGCGGCGCGAAGATGGAATCGAGGTTGAAGCTCAAGGTCGTTGTAGAGAGTCCGTCCAATTGATTGGCCCGTGCTTCGTCGCTGTTTGGTGGTCATCAATGAGCACAATGCCTGGCATTGGTTAATGCTACTGGGTCCTATCCATCTCCCCAGATTGCATGATATGCAGCTGGCAAATCGAAGCTTCGCACCTGGCAATCAGAAGGAGAGCTTGGAGCCAAACTGGGACCCACTTGAACCTCTGACAATAGTGGAAACTCTTGGCACTTACGGGATACGTATGCCAGAGAGGATAGATAGGCCCATAGCTCTCCAAAAGCCAATTAACTACTGCGGCCGACCGACCCTGAACTTTTGGGACAAAGAGACGACAGCTTGCACCGCAGTGACACGCGGCCAATCGACGACTCAACCACATTTCATAACTCTGTCGAGAAAACTCATCCAAATTGAGGAACAATCAATGAGGCCATAGACGTCGATTGGTCTTCTTCTTGTTCCTTTTTTTTTTCCCCTTCTTGCTGCAATCAATTGTTTCTGCCCACAGTTGGAGATGAGATCTCTCGTGTCCTTCCTCCTGCTGCTGCTGGCGGCCGTCGCCCAGGCCGTAAGCTCCAGCGGGGAGAGGTTGCTCGTCATTCTGGATGATGTTGCCGAAAAGGCTGGCTACTCAAAGTTTTTTGGCGATCTAGAAGGTAATTGGGAGCTCCAATGCAAACTATGCTAAAGCACTTGGGAGAGAGAACCGCCATTGCTAACTTCATTCTCTACTATAGCTCGCGGCTTCAAGATCACCTACGAAACACCCAAGAGTGAGACATTGAACCTCTTCAAGCTCGGTGAGCGCGAGTATGACCACCTCATCTTCCTGCCGACCAAGGTCAAGGGCCTCGGCCCCAGCTTGACCCCCAATGTTCTTGTCCAGTTCATCAACGCCGAGGGCAACATTCTCGTCGCCCTCTCCTCCAAGAACCCTGCCCCTACCTCGATTGTCTCGACACTGCTCGAGCTCGACATTCACCTGCCGCCCGACAGAAGCGGCCTCGTCGTCGACCACTTCAACTATGATGTCACATCCGCCGCCGAGAAGCACGACGTTGTTCTCTTACCTGCCCCGGGCCCCCTCCGTGCCGACGTTCAGGACCTCTTCTCTCCCGCCGCACCCAATGGCGAGCTGCTTGCCTTCCCCTCTGGCGTCGGACAGACTTTGGGCTCTGGCTCTCTCCTCGCCCCCGTCCTGCGCGCCCCCAGTACCGCCTACAGCTACGACCCCAAGGAGCAGGCTGAGATGGTCGACGACCTCTTTGCAGCCGGCAGCCAGCTCTCGCTGGTCACCACCTTCCAGGCTCGCAACTCTGCCCGCGTCAGTGTCGTCGGCAGCGCCGACATGCTGAGCGACAAGTGGTTCGACGCCAAGGTCAAGAAGCACGGCAGCAAGGCTTCCGTAGCCACCTTGAACCGCGACTTTGCCAAGCGCGTGTCGGGCTGGACATTTGGCGAGACGGGCGTCCTGCGCGTCAACTGGGTCGAGCACCACCTTAACGAGGAGGGTCAGAGCAACCAGAGCAACCCCGAAATCTACCGCATCAAGAACGATGTCACCTACTCCATCTCGCTGTCCGAGTACGTCTGGGACGCCTGGACCCCCTTTACCGTTCCCGAAAAGGATGCTCTGCAACTCGAATTCAGCATGCTCTCTCCCTTCCACCGCCTGCCTTTGAAGCCCGTCACCACCTCGTCCGACAGCACCACCTACTCGGCCTCGTTCAAGCTGCCGGACCAGCACGGCATCTTTAACTTCAAGGTCAACCACAAGCGCCCCTTTTACTCCAACGTTGAGGAAAAGGCTACCGTCTCGGTGCGCCACTTTGCCCACGATGAGTGGCCCCGCAGCTTCGTCATCAGCGGTGCTTGGCCGTGGATCTCTGGCATCGGCGCCACCATTGTGGGTTGGCTCGGATTTGTGGCCATTTGGCTGTACAGCAAGCCCGCCCAGTCCGCCGAGATCAAGAAGACCCGTTAAGAAGGGGTTATTGACGTCGGCGCCATGTAGGGCCGAAGAAGAGTCATGAAAAGAAAAGCTAGGGGCAAAAGAATACCCAGTTCATATAGATATGATATTTCTTGTACCATGCAAGTGTAACAAAATGAATGAAAAGATAAAACCATATTTTGTTTTTTTGCTTCCTTATTGGGATAAAGTAGTGACAGCCCAGACACTTTCAACCATACTCTTCACAACACGTAACTTATCTTTTACATGCAAAAACGATTGAGATGTTGGGTCTTAATTTTGTCAGTCAATGACAAAATCAGGCGGCCGATATCTGAGGTCAGGAGCAGCAGCAATAGCTGCCTTGTCGCGAGACTTTGGAGCAATCGTAATGCTACTGCTTGCATTAGGTTGTGAAAGCCGCATGCGCCCACAGGCCATTTTCTTGGGGGCACGGTGGCTGACAGCAACAAACACTTGGGACAACACAACAACAAGATCAAGTAGAGAGTCTGGACTCAACCTCATGATGTAGATTTATCAATTTAAATTGGCGAGGAGAAGGGGGTTTGTGGTACTGGGGGTTTGGCGAGGCTACGAGCGGGCACTTGTAACAGCTCGTCCTCAGGCCACAGCTTATGCGCTGAGAAGTGATGATATGGTTCCGCCTACATGCAGTACGTACGAATCCACTGCAAGTTCATGCAAATGTATGTACATCCAAGATTAACTTAACCAATACGTGTCATGTCACCATAAAAAAAAATACAGTCAAGATCGTAGTGGTAAAAGCGTTTGCGTTCAATGAATTCGCCCATTGCAATGACTAATGAAAAACAAATAAAAATGCCGTTATCCTATCCGTGACCCATGCTTGAAACAACAAGGAGAACATCACCAATTACTACCCGCCGATGTGGAGTTTGAACTCTATTCGCTAGCCTCAATGATGTCAGAGTAGTTGCTCTTGCCAGCACCGTTGAAGGCGAGCAGGTTGGGGGAGTTGGTGCCAACATCGCTGAGCTTATCCTTGCTGGCGACCTTGAGGATGTCCTTCTTGAGCTGCTCGGGAGTGATGGAGGCGAGGCCATACTCGGAGTCCTTGCTGGGCTGCAGAGACAGGTAGTAGGCGGTAAGACCGCACAAGTGAGGGGAAGCCATCTGAGACGAGAGTTAGTGACCTGATTACAAAGAGAGTGATCCCGAATTGTGAGAATACATACCGAAGTACCACTGATGGTGTTGATGGCAGTCTTGCTACCAATCCAGGTGGACTGAATGCTGAGACCAGGACCGAAGATGTCAACGCACTTGCCCCAGTTGGAGAAGTAAGCACGGCTGTCATCGAGGGCAGAAGCACCGACGGTCATGGCCTTGGAAGCGGCAGCGGGGGAGTAGTTGCAAGCGTCAGCATTGTCGTTACCGGCAGCAACGGCAAAGTGGAGGCCAGCATCGACGGCAGCATTAACAGCCTGGTCGAGAGAAGGAGACTTGCCACCACCAAGAGACATGTTTGCAACAGAGCCCTTGAAGCCCTTGCGCTTTCCGTTCTTGGCAGCAGAGACGGCGTTCAAGTGAGACTCGGCGGCCCACTCGACGCCTTTCATAACATCAGCCATGGAACCGCTGCCGTTACTGCGGAGAACCTTGACCGCGTAAACAGAAGCCTTCTTGGCGACACCGTACTTCTTGCCAGCGACGGTACCAGAGCAGTGAGTGCCGTGACCGTTGCCATCAACGTCAGCATCACCAGAGGGGATGGTCTTGCCCCAGTGGGCACGACCCTCGAAGTCAACGTGCTCAGTGTTGGTACCAGTGTCGATGATGTAGGCATCGACACCCTCACCGCCGTCCTCGGCGTAGACATACTTATTGAAGGTGCCAAAGGAGAGGCTAGCACGGTGAGAGATACGAGCCAGACCCCATGGGGCGTTCTTCTCTGTGACTGGTTCGGGGTCCTCTAGGGTGCGAACAATCTGATCCCGCTCGACGTACTCGACGTCGGGGTGCTTGCGGATCTGGTCGAGGACAGAGTCATCAAAGTGACCAGCATAGCCCAAGAAATCGGAGCCGATCTTGTAGGCATGCTTGAAGCCACTGTAGGCAGAGACCTCTTCATCCGACCCTGACGAGAACAGGCCACGCTTGCGCAGCTCGGTCTGACGGTACTCTTCGCTGGTAGTGTGAACGTTCTGGACCCAGGAGTGGTGGTCCTGTGCTGCGTCATGTGAAACGTGCTTCCTATAAAGTAGCGATGAGTTAGTTACCAGTTTCACAAATGGATTTGACGTTCAAAGTGATGATCAGAGCTGTCGTATGACGCATCGGCTCTGGGACGAGAGCTTGGAGCGGCTTATTTGCTTTGAGTGTGCTGTATGGAGTGCGAAAGAAGAAGAGCTAGTATTTGACCATGCTACACTTGCTGCCGGTGGTTTCTGAAGCTTCACGTGGTGCTGGGAGATAGACTACTTACTTGAACTTGATGATGTAGGAGTTGGGGATGTGCTCGGCATCAGCAGCGGCGATGACGGGAGCGCCCTCGTTGTAGGAGCTGTAGGATGGAGCTGCAGCTGCGACGCAGGCCAGCGAAAGAGTAATGAGGCCCCTCATGATGAACAGAGATGGACCGATCTAATGTGAGGAGAAGAACGGGTGTTGATGCGATATAGAGAATGGAAAAAGAGATGAAATGAAAGAAGAAGAGAAGACGGAGCTTAACAAGAGAGAGCGAGAGGAGCTGTCTGTCGGAGGAGATAAGTAGGTAGGCTGCCGCGCACTGCCCACCTGCCTACCCCAGCGACGCTAGAGCTAACCTGGTACCTCTGGGGCTATCACGAGTAGGTACGACTGCGGGCGCCGAAACTGGGGAATAACGACTCAGAATCGGACTTCAAGGTGCCGGTAAAGAGATGTAATGCTTTGGTCTAACCAAAATATTTCACTTTAACATTTAAGCCATGCTAAATGTCACTCATACTGCCATGTCGGTAGCTCTTTGTCCTTGTTGCTCTCTTCTGATCCGTGATATCGAAGCAAGTATGCCAGTACCTCGAGGTGGGCACGACAGAGTGGGTCATAAGCACCCGGCCTGGTTTCCCAGGTTCCGCCCGCGGCCTCGTGACGACAGTGCCTCGACCAACTGATGGCAGATAAGTAGTAGATAAGGAGCTACCTGGACGGGGGTCAGCTCGTCAGATGATGATGATTCAGGAACGGCACTCAATTCTCACATTCGACCTTTGCAATGATTTACTAGACATCATCGATGTTCAGTATCTACGATCGAAAGTTTGCTTCCATACTATCTGCCTATTCCAGCTCTCAAAATGGTCCCTGGAGGCCTTTTGAAACAGGACGCCTGTATCAGTTCCCGCGGCAATGCGATAAGATAAGTGCATGCGACTAGGTAGCTGGTAGCTATGACATGTCTGGCACGAGACGTGGAGTCTTAACCTAGCTCGGTGCTTTTGGGCGGGCGAACCGAAGGAACCACTGGGCAACCCCCATAGGGATTTTAATGGACCGAAGCACTTTAGTACCTTGATCCAGCGGCTATCCACTGAAAGGCTGCTAGGGAGGTACCTTATTAGGGAGACGCGATAGCCTCCGCATTAGCTGACTCTTGCCTCTCATGTCAGATCTGGGCTGCTTGGGTGGGATGTAGCTTGCCAAGTCAGTATCTCTCGACAGATTGTCCGGCTCCCAATGAATATATGTTTTGACCACTCTTGGAAGGGGGAAAACCTAGCAATGCGTTGTTTCCTTTGCCAACGCATTGACAGCAGAAGATTGAATTGATGCATCTGTCCATCTTCATTGAAGGCTCAATGGAACTCTCAGCTCTGTTGCGGAGGCAACTGGAGCTTCCCCCAGACTTGCACCTGCAGCTGACCCTGACAGTGGTATGTACCTTGAACGATAGGAGATAGCTCCGTATGTGAGTGTGTACCTTGCTAGCCAGCCTGCGCATTCTTGCGAAACGTGAGCCAACCGATGACACAATCGAGGACCAGGATAGCGCATTTCCATTACTCCATTGTAGGTTGCCAAGCAGCCAAGAGAGGCAGCGGATCCCCAGTGCACTCAAGAACCAAGTTCCATCGATTCAATGTTCCTTTTTTTCGCCCACTTCGCCCCTCTCCCCCAGTTGTTGTTTGTCCCTCTCTCCCGTCCGCCTCGTTTCTAGAGCTAGGCTCGCTAGGCTCCCATGTATCGCAGTTGACTCCCCCCAACCCGAAGTCGGCATAGCTTTGCTGAACTTACTCTTAGGTATTCCGCACGCAGTAAATGCAATACGCATTTGGAGCTCACCCAAGTCCCTGCATTTTGTCGTCTTGGAGGGTTCACGTGCTCGGTTCTCTACACTATCCTCTTCCCAATACAGTCAGTGTATCGAGCATGCCAGTTTAGTGTCTCACCCATTTCGGAACCATGGGATCAGCTGGCGGTTGCACATATTGGTTGCATCTCAGATGATGGGCGTTTATCTCGCTGATCCTTGGCGGCCAAGAAGCGTGTCTCTGACTAGAGAATTTACACACAACGCTACCGATTCATCACAGCACGCAAGCAACTTTAGATATTTGCACATTCTGCTCTTTTCAGTGGCTCAGTCATCGTCTCCAAGGTCAGAAAGGCGGTATGATGTGGGTTGTATAATAAGCTGGTGGTGGTGTGGTGACCATCACACCAACCTGCTCATTTTTGAGTCAGTTGAGTCTGCACCTCATGGCGGGGGAGATCGGCTTTTTGCGACTTATTATATAGATAGCTTGTCGGGTCTGTCCTTATCTTTTATGGTCTGCTGTGACCCTCCAACTCAACTCTTGACTCTTGTCATGAGTCGACAGCGCCCCGCCAATCTAGATTGATGGTTATTATAGTCCTGCAGCAGCGTGTACATTCGCCCCGAATCATCACGAACCGATACCGCAGTCCATTCCGGTACTGCAGTATACCCAGAGACAGCCGCTGGATGATTCGGTATTTCATCTATCACCTTCAACCGCTCGGCCTCTGGAGACTTGAGGAAAGGCACCAGGCGCCGATTGTGGCTGATCAATAGCTTATGTGGATTTATTGCCACTTTTGCACCCTGTTCTTGGAAGACATGCATCAAATTGTAAGAACGGAAAAGATAAAAACTTCATTTTCTTCTAGGATCCCGATGGCGACTCTGACCAAACAAGCCTCCGTCACGGCCGGCTAACATCATATAAAAGCATTCGTGTCGTCTGTTCCTGCAATTCTGCGCCTCCGACTGTCCAAGAAGAGCTCCACCATGTCCTTGCTCCTCACTGACTGTCTGCTTGCACTGTTTTGAACACTTGAAGCTCCAGCAATCGGAGTTTGGTATACACTATTATCAGCTGTGAATCTCGGACTGACGTTCTCTGTTTTCTGACAAGATAGTGAAGACGCCGACTGTTGCGTTCTCGTTTCTACAACTTTCAAAGGGCTCCCTGACTCCCTGCGCTACAGTGGGGCCACATTCTGGTCTTGTGTCTTGAGAGCACTGAGAGATCGAGTTTGGACGACAGTTCGAGGCTTGGATGTATTGCGGTTGCCACAAGTACCAATATTGGGCGTATTCTCATTGACTTTATCCGTCTGTACATGTGCCATCGAAGGTTTGATCTTTAGAATATTGTTGACAGGAGGGTAAGATGTCGCGACTGGCCTTTGTTTTGTGGCCGGCGCTGCTTTTGCAAGCCCATCAGTACGGATATCGTCTAACTGCCCCCGCGGTCTCTGAGGATCATTCTTGACTGCACAGGACACTTGATCAGCTGAACCGAATATCTCGACTTTGCGCGGAGAAGCCGATTCGTCCTCCCCATCGCCGTCAATCTGTGCATTTTCGCGAACATGTCCGCCACCCCACGTTAGGTCGGGTTGACTGACCACTTTCTCTATACTTTGAGGATGCTCAAGGCCTGAGCATTGGCCATCCAACTCTGACATATTGGCGGAGAGCCACGACTTCCAATCACTCGAACTCGTAGATGATGTAGACCGATGAGCAATACTGATCCTCGGGCTTTGATACTTAGGGGGGTCGAGAAAGATGGTAGCATGCCCGTGTTTCTCCGACGGCTGTAGAAGATTTGGAACGAGACCATGAGTGCTACATGAGGTATCAACGAGAGCTACATCGTTGGAATAGATGCTTTCCTCGTATGCCATCTTCTGGTCATTTTCAGACTCGCTAGTGCTCGGACGTCGAATCCGAACTTCAGGCAGCGACATTTTCCAAGGATTGAATGCAGGAGATTTGGGTAGCGACGCTTCGGCAGCCGCTTGCATAGATCCCCGTACAGCGCGTCGGTAAGGGCTTTGCGTCCTGAACAAATGACATTCTGGACTTCCAAAGAATGCTGAGCTCCGTGCGGACAACGTTTTGATTGGGGACGCAGGCTTTTTGGCATTCGTGATTGTGAGTGATCGAGTCGAAAAACTCGAGCTTCGCTGCAGGCTGGTATCTCGTAGTGCAGACGATACATCGTCAGCCGAATTCGTTGTTTCCAATCGTATGTTGTTGCAGCTGATGAAGGGATCATCGGTTGGATCTGAATCATTCTTGACTGTGTCAAATTGCATGGTATGGGTAATACCAGATGGGGGCCCGGTTTTGTTGGCGTCGTTGATGATTGTTGTCTTGGACGAAGAGAAAGATCTGGAGCTGCCTCTGGTGGGCACGAGATCTTGTTCGACAAAAACTTCTAGGCTTTTTTGACTCTGGTTGTGAGAGATTTGGACTCTCTTGGGAACTTCCATGCCAGTCCTTTTCATGAGAGCCGAGTACAATCTTTGCCCTCTCAAGTTGTTTGCAGAACTGTTCGTGGTAGAATTTGAATGGATCGTATCTTCCTGTATGTCGGTCCATTCATTGTAGATTGGACGTCGCCGTTGGTGCGAAGCGGCATACGCTCCAGTTTCTTTGATCACCGATAAACGCTGTTTTCCTTGTGTAGTTTGTGAACTATTAACAGTGCCGCAAGTTGTTCCATCCGAATCAGACCAGCTAGTCACCCTCGACCTTTCGTCGGAAGTCCTTCTCTCACTATGGAGGCTTTCAAGACTGCCTTGGCGAGAATGCAACTGATGCTCCAAAGGGATATTGTGGAATGACGGGATACCGGAGCTGACGCGAGAAACTGTTGTGGTTTCTTTCCCAGTGCTGTCAGAATGACGGTCCTCAGATGCGTGGTCTGAGTCTCTCAAGTCAGTCACATAGGTCCTTCGTGCTTCCACCTGCTGAGGCGGAATCGTAACGTCTTCAGTGTCGCCTCTGATGGTGCTGAACAAGGCTTTCAATTTGTGCTTGAAGTTTTGAGAAACCTGGCGTGCCTTGAATCTCAGGCTACTATCCTTCGTGCCCTTGACACGTAGAGAAGTCGTGCCATCACTAAGATTCCGTAGTGTCTTCTTGAAGATCTTTTCCGGCCTAGCTGACCTGGAGCGCAGTTGGGCAGAAGATTGTGATTTCACGAGGCGAGGTATAGTGCTTGCTGCGCTGGGCTCGTTTTTTGCAGCGATTGGCGATGTGTTGTGGTTGAAGGTGGACGTGCTGGAAGATTCCTGTCTGGACCTCAGCACGCTCATCGATCTTGGAGTCCTCAATGCAGATATTTCACTATATTTAACGCTGCGGGCACCTGAGTGGTCGTGTCAGTATTAATTGTCTCTCATACTGGTCCTGAATTTACACACCTGGTGTTACTCCCAATTCCGAACCCGGGTACATTGATTTGGATTTTCGCAATTGACCATGAGAACTAGGAGCTGAAGCGGTTTCATCTTCACGTGTGTAATGTTCCTCTCCTACAAGAAGCGCATTAATGTAGTTGCCCGCCACGCCCTTTGCAGCAGAGACCATGCCAGAGGCTGATGCATGGCTCTGTGGTTGCAGTCGCTGTGTCTGTCCTGTCTGACTCAAACTTGTATTGGCACGAATGACCCTAGTACGTCTCTGCTTGGAAGGAGTATATGGCGCCGTCTCGTCCTTGGGGTTCGAGGCAGAGCCCTTGGGTTGAACAAATCGAACGCTTTGTTGTCTTCGAATGGGATGTGTATCGGAATGTCTTTCGGGGGAGCTCTGATGGCGACTCAGTGCTGGCCGTTCGCTTGATCGAGGTGGTGGCCAATATGCGACACTATTTGACGCTCGATCTCTGGCTCTCACGAAAGCCTCCACAGCAGCACTTTGTGCATCATGTTCGGCTGTCTCTGGGTGGACGTGTATCAGCTGGACGTTCTTCACGGACGAGGTTGACTTGCGGCGGGGGAGATCCTGGGATTTGGTGCTGTTGCGACGCTGCATGTTGATAATCCTAAGTATGCACCCACGGGATTGTGTTGGAATCTGCAGTATTAACCAAAAACACCGTGCTGATGATAGTGCTGAAGAATTGTATAATGCATCTGATAAGAGCCGGATACAGTTAAGGATCTTGAATCTGTGTCGATTGTCATTGCTCTTCGGCTTTGGGGTGACGATGTGGTGGTATTGTTCTCGAATTTCTGGGCAAGGACTACCTAAGGTGTGTAGTCGAATGGCTCTTTCCTCAATGCCACAGACGACCCAAAATTGTGGTTCTCGCCTCGAGTACTTACCTGGCATACTGCTCCAAGGTTCTGTCGAGAAAGAAACTACAGGTTCATGTTTATTTAATTTCAAGAGGTTCAAAATTGTACCATAGTCTCATGTATAAATTCCCAAATCTGTTCTTTATGTATTCATTGTTCACGTCTATATAGTGGAGTACTTCGTGGTCTGCTCAAATGACTGACAGAAGACCTCAAATAAAGGGCAAGATTACGTGACTGGGATACTCGCCTCCCAGATGCACGTTGTGCTTGCCCTTGTTCTTGACATGGTCAAATGTCCCAAAGTTGCTGACAGCGTGACTTCTGCCGCTGATGCTGACTCTCAAGCCCTCGCCGGCCTCGAACTGGATGCCCGTCGCCCAGATTCCAATGTCAAGACGGACTACAGTTCCAGGCTCGATCTTTTCCTCCTTCTCATGTGGGTGGTAGGGCCAATTTGGATGTATCGATCTGCTCTCGTCAATCGCCCTGTGCGAAGCGCGGAGGATACCAAGTGGGCCCTTGTAGGTGACAACCTCGGTCTTTTGTTGAGGCGTGAACTCGTCGAAGGACTTGACTGGCACTCCTTTCCACGGAATGTTGAGATTGAGCATTGGCTGACCAGAAGCATCCAGTTTCTCAATAAAGACATACACGTCCATGTCATCCAAGTCCTTGCATGACATGTAGACTACAGCTTTGGGCATGCCCAAAAGCCGGCTCGCTTTCTCGAATGTGTATGTAAAGGACGCCGAGTCATGTGTTTCAGAGTTGTAGCTTACCGCTGCACTCTCCTTTGGAGGCTGCAGGTCAAGCTTTTGGTCTGATGAGAGGTAAAATTGCTTATACTCTGTTCTTGCAGGGGGGAATTCCTCCTCCACAATGTTCTCGATGGGGTCGTTTTGACCGAATCTCAGAGCTGTAAGACGAATCTTGGGTGTCTTTTCCCATCCATTGTCGACGCCCTTCAGGTATCGGTCGAAGAATTGGACGAGCTCCTCCATACCCTCTTTATTGCCGTACATGTCATACCACTCTTGGGTGCCGTGCCACCGGAGCCACTTGTTCGGGTTATCGACATCAAGCCAGCCCCTAATAGCTCCCATTCCGTGCATTGTGTTTGTCCAAGTTCCTGTGATGTAGGTGGGTACCTTGATCTTCTTCATATCAGGTCGCTTGTCATTCCACCAGGCATCGGCCAGGGGTTGCTGGGCAAACTTTTCCTTAAAGCTTTCCATGCCGTTTCGACCTTTCAGCATGTAATTGACGATAAGGTGGTCAAACAAATCCCCTGCGTAGATGCCGCCTCTGGCGAACTGCTCGCGAAACAAGTCACCACAGCCTTCCCAGGGTGCAATGGCTTTCAGGCTCGGAGGCTGGAGAGCGGCTATAAACCATTGCACAATGGCTAGGTGAGAGTTTCCTGCAAGTCCAACGGTACCGTCGCACCAAGAGAGCTTTGCGAGCGCCTCAATGGTGTCGTATCCATCTTCCGCCTCTTGACTCCCCATGATGACCATGTGACCATCGCTGTCGCCCACGCCGCGGTTATCGATGTTGACCACGGCGTAGCCCCTGGGAACCCAGGTCGCTGGATCGATGCTTTCGAATTTCTCGAGACCGGACAGGGTTTCGGCTGGAATACCAAGGTCCCACGGCGTCATCAGAGAGAGTGACATTAGCCCGTTGAACTTCTTGCCAAAGGGCGACCAGCACAAAATCGCCGGCACTTTCGCCGGGGCCTCGCCGCTAGTGGAAGGAGGAGGACGATAGATGTCGGCGCGAAGAACGGCACCATCTCGCATGGTGATGGGCACATCGTGATCAACCTGAATTGCCGCGTCGAGGGGCTTTGCTCTGGGATCGGGGTATTTCCAGCCGGCTGGGAGGACCTCGCTTCGCTCGTTGAGACCTTGGTAGCCTCCCTGGCCAACTTCAGGGGCGCCAATAGGCACAATTGGGGCTTTGGGAATAGCTGCAGACATGATGACAACCTATGAATGATGACAATATCTACAAGTTTGCCCGCGCATTCTACAATCTTTCCACGACGACCATTTACATGCTCTAGCTCTCAACACCCCACATTGCTACTTTCGGTAATCATAGACTATAGTGGAGTGAGGGGCCGTCGAAAAAGAAGGGTCCATGTCTGAGACATGTCTTGTGACAGCCAGGTGAACTGCCAAACTCAGTAGAGTCATTCTGCGTCGTAGAGGCGAACCTGTTATCGTGTAGATTCTGATCGACGACTTCGGCATCCCCCAGATTCCCCAAGATGCCGATGAATTAGTGATTCCCTATTGGAGGGGCTGCCCCAAAAGGGTGCGGGCCGGTGGAGATTCTTTAAGAGTATACTAGATTTGGAGATGGACGCCACGATGTGGAGAAGAGATACCGAACCGAACCACTCCGAGCCGAAAGACGTGAATGATTGGGGCAATTGTTAGGTCCCGAGTAACATGACTGGGAAAACATCGATGATCAACCGCATCGAGATTCGGTCAATGATCCGAACCGAGCATAGCCTCCCCAGGATGACACCGAGGGGATACTCACTGGATCGGAGAGGCGAACATGGAGTTGGCGCTACTTTCCTGTGACTACAGATATAAGGAAGTTGAGAATCGTTTGTCTTGGGAACAATATTCAGCATATTCAAATCAACGACTGAGTTGAGAACATATTGAAACAGATATACACACAACACTATCTGCATCATGGGTTTCAACAGCGACGCAAAGACGACTGCCGTGGTCGTTGACACGCCCACGTACGAGTACAAGAAGGTGGACACCACCAACCACCGAGTTCCGAAGCCATCTGGCCCCAACAAGATCTTCGAACAGGAGGGTGTCACCTATGGCGACTGGAGAGATGACCTCGTCCGCGACGGTTACGTTGTTGTCAAGGGTGCTGTCCCCAAGGACCGCATTGAGGCATACGGTGAGGATATGATGTCCTACCTTGAGAACTTGTGAGTTATCCCCTTTCGCCTTGATTGCAACAATATTCGAAGCAAACACTGACTCAGCATCCCAGCGGCGGCGGTCTTGGCTTCAAGCGGGATGACCCTTCCACTGTTGAGGAGAAGCACCTCCCCATTATTACCGAGAAGGGCATGATCCTGGGCTATGGTGCCCAGCACGAATCCTTTGCCTGGGGTATCCGCCAGGAGCCCGGTGTGATTGAAGCCTTTGAAAAGGTGTACGACACGCCCGATGTCATTGTCTCCTTCGATGCTGTGAACATCTCTTTCCCCAACCGAAAGGACATCAAGCCCAACAAGCCCTGGCCGCACCAGGACCAGGACCCCGAGAAGCCCGGCTTCCGGTGCCTGCAGGGGCTGGTCAACGTGTTCCCCAACGGCGACAAGGACGGCGGCCTGATTGTGTGCAAGGGCGCGCACCTGCTGAGCGAGGAGTTCCACGAGGCCTTCAAGAACGAGACCAACCGAATCTGGGCCTGGACCAAGGAGTGGTACGGCTTCACCGACGAGGGCATGGCCTGGCTCAAGGACAAGGGCTGCGAGTGGATCAAGGTCAATGCCGAGCCCGGCGACCTCTTGCTCTGGGACAGCCGCACGCCGCACTACAACCTCAGCCCCACGGGCACGGCGCCGCGCTTCTGCACCTACACGTGCTACATGCCCGCCGCCGACGCCACCCAGGAGGACCTCATTCGCAAGAAGGGAGCCTTTGACAACCTCCAGGGCACCACCCACTGGCCCAACGCCATGCACGTGGCCGACCTCCCCGTCAAGCGCAATGGCGAGGACTGCCCCTACAACACCCGCAAGCCGAGGAAAGCCCCAGAGATGACCGAGAGAGGTTATCTATTGACGGGCATTCCTTACATCCAGCCTACGTCAGCATAAATGAGCTCGAGAAGAGTTATTTTGTATTTTAGCGTTTGATAACCAAAATTGTAAAATGTGCCAATACTTTCTGGGACTTTCTTTTGTGATAAAATGCAATATTTCTCGTGCTGGCATGCAGAATAGTGATTGGTGATTTGTTAATTAGGAAGAGTTGAATAACTCGGAGAAATTCGTTATAAAAACTAATACGCTTAAAAAAGGAAATTCCAATTAAGCAAATAAGACGAAAAGTTTCGCAAATAGTTTCCTTTTTATATTTGAAAATATAATGCTTGGTCTCTAATTAGCCTGTGATAATCATATAAGAACATGATTGTGTGGGTATGTACTTTCGATATTTAATGTAAATAGGTGGCTTAAACTGGAATTCTATGTATTCATCATTCAGATAGATCATCACCAATCAGTCGCCCAATAATCTGGTATATTTTTCAAGCATTTCATCGTCAAATCGTACAAATCTCAACAAAAAAGTCCGTTCTATAAGGTCTCGGGGAAGAGCTGGGTAAAATCCACCCAGTCCCACCCAATATCGTGGGTGACCTCGGGTGAAAAGCCGGCGTCTATCGACTCTAGAGAGATGGCCGGCGACTCGCCAAACGCTGCGCTAAAGTCCATGTTGGCAAAGTCCATCTGTTCGTACGACGGCGGATCAAAGGTATTTGGTGGCCCTGGGTGGCCTGGGCCAGCTGGGTGTTGGGTCTCCGAGCCTTCAGGGACACTGTGCTGTTGTACCACGTTACCGGCCTGTGTGGCTGCCACCCCGGCTCTCTGTGCAGCCATCACCCGCGGCGTAGTGGCCGAGGATGAAGACATCATTTTTCTGATGAGCAATTCAAGCTTGTCTAAAACGGCATGGAGTTTGCCGTCCGCGGTGAAAAGCTCATTGTGTTGTTTGGTGAAATCTGCTGCATCGTGTATGAGCTAGTTTCGTATGTCAGCCATTTGTCGCCCCCGAGAACAAGAAAAGGGAGGGAGTAGCCTGGGCGGAATTTGTGACTCACGTTGAGATCCGACTTGGCCATTCTGGACTTGGGATTTCTGATTATGTTCACCGAGAGAATGTACAGTGCATGCAATGGCACAGATATGGAAGGCAAAAGAGGTTTCATGTCAGAGTCGGCTGCCTCAATGAGAAGCTGCACTGTGCGTCTCGCAGAGTTGATCGCGAGCGTTGGTCCGTTGCGGATGACATGTTCAAAGGGGGTACCAGGTGCCACAGCATCGATAGCCATCTGTATGGCCTTGTTACTGACCAACAAGCTGTTACGCATGAGCATAAGCAGACTATGATCATGTTAGCTGGGCTGGTTTGAAGAAGCAAATGCAGCATGATGATTGCTGGACCTACGCTTGATTATACTGCAATGCGATGAAAGAAGTGAATGGAAAGATTCCAGGATCATATATAAAGTCGGACCGCGGTCTGGAAAGCATGTAAGCAAGATGAAATAATTACCGAGACCAGCATCAAGGCGGTTGACTGACTTGTATTCGTCGGGGAGATCATCTGCCCACCGTATCAACCTGGTGGACGAATCACCAATCGTTTTGACCTTGTCTCTGACAGCAATGTCGAGGCCGCTACTCCCAGCAGTCTCCTCAGTGTTTCTGGAATGAGTTGCAAGTCGGCTGATCTCACCGAGAAGATCGGCAAAGCTCCCAAGTATGCGCAAAAAAGAAGGGCGCGGATGGCTGCGCCCATTGGTCGAAAAGGACCAGCTTCCAGGATCTAAATCCTGGCAGCTCTCGTCCAGAATCAAGGGTGGCCGTCCCAGCTCGAAAGCTAGTATGCGCTCGAAGCAGTATATACACCACCATGTTCGTAGCCTATCGCCCTCATGATGGGATTTGGTTGTATTGACCGAATGCTGGGTTTGCCCTCTTCGCGGTGGGGAAGCAGGTCGGCTCAGGCCTTGGGACATGGCCATGGAGACGCATAAACCAAGGGCCGACCACGCGGCTGATATTTGATCATGACTCTTGAGACAAAGCGACACGAGAAACATTAACTGAACGGCCTGAATTGTATTCCAGCCAATCATATGACCAACAAAGCTCCGGCAGAAATCGAGATTTGACGCCGAGTAATCTCTCCATTCTTTCCGCTCGTGGCTCAGGGCACCGAGGCCAAGCACCAAGTATATAAGCAGCAGTGGCAGGAAGCCATGCTCATGTGCAAATTGCGCCGGACCGAGTTGCAGAGCAATATCTAGCATCTGCCCAGTCTTGGCTGCATCAAGCACAGGAAAGACAGCATTGACTTCCTCTAGGTATAAAAAGAGTAATTCTTGGGAAGTAGCATGGTCCGGAAAGGGAGGTGTCTCTTGGACGAGAAGAGGTTGCTGAAAGGGTGTGTTTGACTCGGCCGGTGTGAGAAGAGGACCCAGTCGTTTGCGTAAACCAAGACGGTGAAATGCGAGATCAAGCCAGTCGGTCAATAGCTCCGATGTACAACTTCCCGAGCTCGGCCTCATCATGGGCAGGCGGCCGGAGAACTTGGTCGTCTGAGTGACATGATCAGTCTCGGCGTGCATATCGGCAGCAAAGTCTGTGCCGCCATCTGGTACGCGCCTTGGAGGGGGATTCCATGGTCGACCAGCATTGGTCTCTTCCTGCAGCTCATTGGCCGAGCGAGGTGTAAGAGGCACTACAGTACTAGGTCTTCTGTGCTGGGACTGTGATGACGGGGTGGGTACCGGAGCAGGCTCTGCGGGGGCATCTATAAGTGATGCTCTTCGAAAGTTTGTCTGCACAGTCGGACTAGTCACTGTTGCCGTTGCCTGCGTGCTATTGCTACCCGGGGTTGCACCGGCTTCGTGCCGTGTGATGGACACTCCGGGCCGGCGCTTATCAACGGTGACGCAGGGGATGCCGGCCGTCAGACAAGCACGGCACGACGGCTTCTGCTCATCGCATCGGGACTTTCTGCTTCTGCAGTAATTGCAAGCAAAATTGAGTCTCCGGCGCTTGGGTGGTGCTTCGGGAGACGTTGGGTTGGGGTTGGAGTTGCCGGTAGCGAGAGGCGACGGGGGCATGATTGGACCGGATTGGCTGTGGTAGTAGTATAGTGTAGATATACTCTACGTCAGCCCCCTCAGCCAAACTTGCCGCCTAGGTCAATGCAATTGCGTACCAGACTGTCGGGATCGCCGCAATGGAAAAGACACATACAGAATCTGGGGTAAAGGCACGCGGCAAACGTACGATGTGTATATGTGAGATGCCGAAGAGGGCCATGCGCTGTAGGCAGTATGCAGAGCCAGAGATGCCGTACCGAAAGACAAGAAGAAACTAAACTGGGGTCTGTTCAGCAGTTATACCACTAGGTTCCGGGGTCGGCTCGTGACCCCAAATTCGTACCCATCCCCCACAAAGACCGAGTGTGGAGGAGGCGACGCTTAGGTGGTCTAGAACCCCTGTAACTCAGCGACTTGAGCATTGCTCAGCTGTAACCGTCCCCCCTGGCCCGCAGGCCCAATTTGCGGGGTACACCGACCGTCACCTACTGTACCGAGTAGCAGCCTCCAGGTTTGTTGCAGGCCAACGGGCCGACCGTTACTGTTTTGAGCAAGATCAACGCTAGACTTGGCTCCTGACTCTGTGAAAAGTTGCCGGTTCCGACTCAATTGGAATCGTCGTGATTGGACTGTCATATGGCCGCAGCGGCATCTCATCCATCGGCAACTTTTTGTGGGCCGGGGCAACTAGACGCCCTCCTCCTCCTCCTCTAGCACAACTCCAAAAAAGAATGAGCCTGGCATATATGACTAAGGCAAGGTGGTGGTAATGGCAGATGAATACAAAACTCCTTATGTGTCCCTGACACGACGACACGTAATCCCATGATACGCAGACAGAGGGTGTCACCAAAAGAAGTAGGTGTCATAGGCACGGATTGCACTTATCAGCCTGCGGGTCTCAACCGTCTTTTGTCTTCTTGCTTGTTTCGACGACTCGACTTGGCCCTTTCTTATCTTTTAGAGGCCAACATATTGTAATACTTATACTGCGCTCCGCTTCGCGAGCTAGTCCGCGCGATCATGGGCGTCGAAGATCCAAAAGTCCCCGCACCGGAGGCAGAAACCATCGAAGCCGTCGAAATGGGCAGAGAACCACGAGTCCCTGGCGCTCATGGTGCTGGCACTGTCCGGTTGCTGGACGAGAATACCGTCGTCTTGATTCCGACACCAAGCCCGGATCCAAAAGGTTTGTGAATGCAAAAAGCCGCGACTTTCTACGAAACTCCAATAGCCGTGAACACATTGATGAACATTCTGACTAACACATTTCATCTACAGATCCTCTCAATCTACCAGCATGGCGAAAATTCATGGTTATTTTCATCGTCGGAGTCTACTCTGCCTTTGCCGTTGCCACGACCTCTGGCCTAGGCGCCGTATACCCCGAAGTGATGGCCGCGTATCCGGGACAAGAATCTCAGGCCACAGATCTGTTGACATACCCGACACTGTTCATGGGCATTGGAAATCTGATTGCCATGCCCCTTTGCGTTGCCATCGGTCGCCGCCCAGTCTTTTTGCTCTCCATGGTACTTCTCGTGGCTTCTGGAATCTGGTGTGCTTGTTCAAAGTCGCTCTCCAGCCACATTGCTGGCCGTGATGTCTTTAGCATGGCAGCTGGCCAATCTGAAGCTCTGGCACCAATGATTGTGCAAGAAATCCACTTTCTTCACGAGCGAGGAAGCAAGGTGGCCTGGTTTGTGGGTGTTCAGACGGCTGGCACTGCCGCTTTCTTCGTTGCTACCGTCTATATTGTTCCGGCCATCGGTCTGGGATGGTGGTACGGTATCATCACCATCATCAATGGTATCGTGCTCATCTTGGCCTTTTTCTTTGTCGTCGAGACCAAGTTTGATCGCCCCGAGGACGCCCTGGAGGGTGAAGTTCACTTGCACCTTGACGAGAATGGAGACCCTATTGCCAAGGGTGGCAGGGAACTTCTGTTCCGCGTCACCACGGCTCAGAACCACGTGCTCCAGCCTGAGAAATTTGGACCACGTACTTGGCGACATGACTTGAAAATCTTCCACGTCCAGCCCGACTGGAAGGCATGTCTCCTCTTCTACAAGGACACAGCTCTCGGCTTGGCCCTGCCCACCATATTATGGCTAGTTCTTCTCAATGGCGCGTTCCTTGGTGTCTACGTCTACCAAGCTTCGACATTTGCGCAAATTCTCATGGCACCACCCTACTCATTCACCTCGGCCGATCTGGGCTGGGTGCAGTTGGCACAGGTTCTTGATTGTGTCATCATGGTTCCCTTGCTAGGCTACGGGTCCGACCGGGTCGTCAAGCTCATGAGTCGGTGGCGCAAGGGTATCTTTGAGCCCGAGTATCGTCTCATTGTGCTGGCTATCCCAGCCGTTGCCGTTGTCATTGCTTGTGTCTTGTATGGCCAGGCGGGCCAGTTTCCCAACCTCTGGTCGTGGATGACAATTGTAGCCCCATACCACTTGGGCTACTTCTCATTCCTAGGAGCAAATCTTGTGGGTATCACGTACGCGGTAGACAGTTTCCCCGAACGTGCTGGCCCATTGCTGCTGCTCATCTGCGCCGGACGTGGTTTCATCTCGTTTGGTCTCAGCTATTCGACTGTCCCACTGATCAATCTCACTGGCTATAACGGTGCCATGAACGTTTTTGCCATTATCTGCGGTATCTTGTCGGCGCTTGGAATTCCCGCGTATTTCTTTGGTGGCGTCGTACGGAGATGGGCTACCCGGACCTTCTGGAAGCCCGTTGAAAACGTGGACTGAGAAATGAACTCGACAAGTAGATAGCTTATAGTAACTGGACCCTCATACTACTATGTAAATACACTCCATATGTTTTTGATTTAGAGTTAGCCCTGAAGAAATTAATGTTCAAAGCATGTTATTTCAGCAATCACTCAACCGGGCTTCCTTCCCTTTTTTGTTCTTCTTCTCAATTCTTCTAAGATGAATGTCCTCAGTACAGAAAAGACGTCCTTCTCCCAAAGTCCGTGCAGGGACCAAAATGATTATCAGAGAGGCTCGCGGGAGTGTTATGCATGTGGGCAGCAATCTGCAGTTTTTCTTGCATGCATAGCCGCTAGATCTTACTTCAAGGATCCTATGTAGTCTGTCATGATTTCATCTCCAGTCGACTCCGCCAGCATGAATCAAAAGGTACATGATATTTATATAAGAAGATTGGAGTCATTACCAGGAATTTACGCCATAAATACCACTATTGCATATTTATAAAGTTGACCTTATATCTGTATCTCTATTTCATCGCGTGCCTTGGACTTTAATGTTATCAATAGCCTTGCAGAAACTACATTCCCGCATTATTGCGGCACCAACTGAAGGTTGTTGAAAGGTGTTCTGAAATAAAATAGCAACCAGAATATCCATACATGTACACATACATAAGAAAAACTAGCCAAGTCTTGTTGGTGGACACCGTTGTTGCTTGTTACCCTCTAATGTGAGTATCCGTGTGAGCAGATCTAAACGCCATAATCGACCAGGACAGTTACACTAGACAAATCAGGATTGAGTTGGGGACCAATGTTGAGTTGGGCACTGCCGTCGGTCTGGAAGACGGTAGAGCCGTTACAATCGCAGTTCAGGACCGGCGGGTCATTGTTGACGACAACGACGACGCATTGACAGGGAAAGTAACCAGCGGAAATGATGTCATTTGCACTATCAAAGAAAATGGGCACCGTGTCGGCCGAATCGACATTGGCAATATTGCCAGTGGCCACGTCAATGAGGTAGCCCTGGTCATTAATCGTAAAAATCCCATCGAGGTTGTTGAAAGTGGCGATTCCTTCGACGCCACTCGACAGGACTGGTTGATTAAACAATGTCGTACCGTCCGGCACGTTGGTCGATCCCAAAGATCGGAGTAGGAACGTTGTTGGCGTGGGAGTTGGGGTAGTAGTAGTACTTGTACTGGACGAAGTAGTCGTGCTGGTCGAAGTGGTGCTGGTCGAAGTGGTGCTGGTCGAAGTAGTAGAGGTAGTCCTTTTTGTCGTGAACGTTTCGGTGAACGTTTCGGTCAACGTTCTCGTGTAAGTGGTCTGCAACTTGGTTTGAGTTCTGTAGATAGGAGCTGGTTGAACATCATTCCAAGGCGGTTGATTGGTGTCTGGCTGGCCATAGTACTTGTCATCATGTGTCGACTCGTCCAATGTCGGGTCGATATAGGCTGGCTCGTTGTAGGATGGCTCATTGTAGGATGGCTCATTGTAGGATGGCTCGTTATAGCTTGGCTTGCCATGATGGATGAACGGGGCCCCGTTGAGATCCGGGTCTGTGAAGGGCTCATCAGGCTTTGGAAATGGTCCGTGACGGAATGGCCCTTTTGGCGCGAAATGCGGTTCATGAGGGAAAGGACGTTTCGGACCGTGATAAAAGTCGGGCAGATCCTCAGAATCTTCGCAATCCTCTGGGCGAGCCAGAGCGAGCAACGGAAAGATGAGCCAAAAGTAGCCAAACAACATGATGTAAGTGACCTGTCTGCGGGCAACGCATGGAGTATAGACATGATCAGCAGCACGGAACTTAGGGGCGTGAACTCCTCTTTAGTACATGCAAGTCGTCGGTGGCTGTCGGGGTTGACATATTGCGCCGTTAAAGATCTAATGTCGGTTCTGAAATTACAGGCCGGAAGACCAAACTAAAACGTGATCATTGGGTTGAAAGCGGGATGTCTGTTCCATCTTACGCACGGCCTATGATGAACTTTGAAAGAAAAAAGAAAGAAGAGAAAGCTTCAAGGTTGAGCTGTGGAAAATCCATGGCTTAGAAAGTCACGTCGTATTCCCTTTGTTGATGCCCACTGTACTAGATACCCTCACGGTCTGTCCAATAATCCGTGAGCCAAGTTTGTTGATGATACCTCGTAGACCATTGTCTAAAATTGGTTTGGCGGTTTATTGAATGTATTGAGCTTGTTCAATGGCCTAGCTGACGTTCAGCTTTTAAAATTCACTTGTGTTTGACGTGAGATGGGTCTGGATGAGGCACTCTGGAGAAATGAATGTTTCCTTCTTACAGTATCCATCCATTGTGGCGAATGTATTATCGTAGACCCGCGCATACTATTGTTCTAAGTGACTTGAACGAACCAGGGTTATACCTCTTATCTGGAAATGTTACTACGCAGTCTCGAGCTCAGTGGATGGACTTGCTAAGTGAATGCATGCATGGGCGAAGATAACAACGTCAGTCAACCACGTTAGATGGAGCCAGACCGTCAGAGGACGGATTGGGCTACAGCTTTTCAACACAGATGCATGGCAGGAACCATGCCATAGTTTCCGTGAATATACTCTTGGCTCAGTAGGACACAAGTTCAAGTCACCTGGGCACGAAGAAGATTCGTTTGTGGAACGTAATGAATTCGCAGATCACAGTGAAACCTAAACACTGCTGGGTATAGCGATCCTCAATCGGCGTTCCACGTCCTCGCGACCTGGACTCCGGAGAGTTCCTGGCCGCTCATGTGGAAGAGCTGTCTCAGCTATCCACCCAATCATGCGGAAAACCACCGCAACGATGACCTTCCCTTACACATGACCGAAAAGAGGGAGAAAAGGCAAAAAAAAAGTAGTCGTGCAAAACGAGATGCGGTGATGCGAGATATCAGGACCCCAAAACGCCCCTTTTTTGTATTGAGGATCTCTTTTGGTACTCCATCGTCTATCTGCATGCGGATGATGTCGTCGAATTATGTCCAGGAGACAATGATGCCCATTTTTCTATGCGCCCATACCATCGTGAGAGAGCTCTGCAGATATCCGAGCTGTACCATCAAGTCGTGACCAATGCCCAAAACACAAAGGAAAGTAGAGTGAAAACATCTACTTTCTGCGGAAAGAGCAACCCTCGGTAAGTCTGGCCTTACCACCGGTGGGCTGGCACAGAACGGTGGTGCAACCCTGGCAGATGACAACGGTCTGAGCGTGAGAGAAGACGGTGGTGATGGTGAAGCATCCCGGGCACTTGACGTCCATGAAGAACGAGCGGGGAGCAGGGACCAGGGCCTATCAATTAAATGTTTATGTCAGCGACAGCACGATGGCGGCGAGTGCTGATGAACATGTCGTACCTTGAGCTTGTGCTTCTTAGCCTCGGCAGCCGGGCTGGGGTTGAGGAGATCGACGGCGAGAACCTGGAAGAAGAAATCGGTCAGCATCACGGCTTGGGAGGCAAAGCGTGATTGAAGCATCGCGACCGGCGGCCCTCGCTCGTCAAGCAGCATCATTTATCGAACATGTCGTGTCTCGTCGCGTTTCCCATCTCGTGTCGTGTCCTATTCCTTCCTATTGTCTGCCCAATTGATGTTTCGAATTGTCGTCGATGTCATAGACTGGTAGCGTTGGAGATATCGTGGCAAAAATTTGGGATGCTGCTGCTTGACCGAGCTGATTGGATACCGGGGAAAATTGATTGCGGTCGGTATCGCTGATTCGTAATTGTTTTCAACTTACCATTTTGACTAAAAGTGGTGCAAGTTGCTGATTTGATCGATATCGACGCGGACTGCGTTATTGACTGATGGAAATCTGGATGAATAATTTGGCGGCAGATTTGCGCTCGCTGTCGATAGATGTGAGGGGAAGGAGATCGTGTGAAGTCAAAAAGTTCGAATTTTCGGCCCAGGACACTTTTGTTGCAACGAGCTCCACCGTCCCAGAGGCGAGATTCCTGGCGCCAGCACAAATCCGATCTAGTGGAGGGGAGGGCTTAGGGCTCGCTACTGCCTTGGGGGACCTTTTTGTCCGTGCTCCTTTTTTTCTGATGCCTGCCGCCAAGCATCAAGTCAGGTGGCGCCAGCTGAAGAGGGGCCATCTTCACTTACTTTGCGGCTGCCGCTGTGCCATGAACTCATCCCTATTCCTGTCAATCGTCTCTGTTGTCATGAAACCTGCAAATGGCGAATATCTAAGCAAAGCATGGAGTTGAACAGTATACTCTAATAAAATACATTGTCACAAGTCTTTCACATTTCATCTCAACCCTTGAAAGTTGCCACTGAATGCAATAAACCCCCTTTCTCACGAGACTTGTCGCGTGCTTGCTGACAATCATCATGCACAATTGCCCACTTAGCGTGATAGCTAACCCCCGACCTATGATCTCAATCAGGGTCCGTCTTCGCGGGGCAGATTTCCGGGTTGCCTGCTAGGTAAGGTAGGTTGCTCCATACAACCAAACAAGCCCATCCATTCATTAGGCATAAGAATTCGAGTACACACCAAACAGGAGAGGTCCGGCGGAGACTCATATGATTCAAGACACGTTGTGCACCTCCTATACTTGTACGGCCTTCACGTCCTCGTCTCGATTCCATACCTTGTCCTGGGCAAACCTCTCACATCATCATGGCCGCGCCTACAGAGCAGCGCATTGCTGTTCCCATTGACGATCCCAATGCCGACACAGAATGGTAAGCAGTGTGATTGTACTACATCTTAGTACTACATCTTAGTTGAAGGCTGGTTACTGATCGCACACGTCCCATAGGAATGAGATTCTGCGCAAGCATGGAGTCATCCCTGAGAAACCTCCTTCCCCTACTCCCATGATCGAAGAGGCCATCCTCGAAGGCCGGAGAATAGCACACGAGAACCGACTGGAAGGCAAGGACCTCGACGAACTAGATGAGCTGGAAGACCTCGAGGATGAAATGTTCCTCGAGTCGTACAAGCAGAAGAGAATGCAGGAGCTCAACAACCTGACCAAGAAAGCCATCCACGGCAGCGTTTACCCGTTATCGAAACCAGATTATCAACGGGAGGTGACCGACGCTTCAAAGAACGGACCCGTCTTTGTCAACATGACATCTTCCATGGGCACCAACATCGAGTCCAGAGTCTTGTCAGAGCTATGGCGCCAGGCAGCAAAAGAATACGGTGATGTCAAATTCTGCGAGATCCAAGCCGCAAAAGCCATCGAAAATTACCCGGACAAGAACTGTCCCACTATCCTGGTCTACCGCAATGGCGACATTGTCAAACAGATTGTGACCCTCATGACCGTTGGAGGTGTTCGCATGGGCATGATGGAAATCGACAACTTGTTGGTTGAAGTTGGCGCCGTGGAGGAAAAGGACATGAGAGTAGTGAAGAGGAAGCGCGCCGCTGAAGATGCTCGGGAAGAACAACTGATGGGCAAGACCGGCCTCAGGAGTGGAAACCTACGCCATGCTACGGTCGACGATGACGACGACGATTGGGAATGAGGCCACCATGATCACAGACAAGTAGACCTTGCTCGCGAGGCACGGTAATACGTAGCCTGCCTTTTTTCCGCTGTGGCAAAATCCATTGGGAAGATACTTTGCCAGCCAAAAGGACACCACCTCGAAAGGGACAAACCTATACCCTCAATAAGCCCAGTCTCATTGGTAGAGACCAAAAACCCGGAAGCCGACCATACCAGTCGATGACAAGGAACAAAATAGTCGCAATTGCTACAAAATGAGTGTCAGTCGCCAGGCTGAGGCACCCGAATTGACAGGCCATGAACCAAAAATAAGGAATTTAAGCCTGTGGCGCCATCATTCCGAAACTGAGTTTGCAACCAGGCTCCGGCAATTGAGATTATCCCAAATGTGAGATCTTTACCTGTTAAGCATTGCCAAATGGGTTTGCAAACTGTTCTCGCATAGCCTGACTAAACACTCGACATTTTGCTAAACTCAACCAACGCTCCTTACTTGTTTTCAGAACACAAATAGTCGAAAGTGAACTCAAAACTCCGATTGCGAGTCCAGGCCAAACCTCAGTTTTGAATCATGGCTTGATTTGGCACTGCAATACACGTGCCTGGGGCAATGCATAGTATTGTCAAGATCTGTGATCTACACAAATTGCATACAAAATCAGCTTGACTTGGGCGGCAAAGGTTAAACAAGTATTTGATATGATAGCACACTGGCCTGACTCAAGACTCCTACTCGTGTATTATGCACAGAGGCCCAAAAATCATCAACAGAATCCGCTATAAAACTCCTAACAAATGCTGAGGACCGAAGAGTACCCAATCAACTCTCCGACCTTTCTATGCTATATCGCACTGATCCGGGTAGCAGAGCTCCCTGCTCTGTAGCCTCGGGAAGACAAGTGTAAGAACAGGCCCGCTTCATGAAGGGCACAGCGTCATTACTGTCGAATACGCTCGTTGGCATACCGGCTTCGGTATGGAATCGGAGCTTATACAGATGCCACCACTCGATCCAGTGCGCAACGGGCACAATGACACGTCTCTTGCATTTGGAGCAAGGCAGGTCGCCCATGTTGGCGTTCGCCTCGGCCTGGGCTGCGATGCGACGAAGGAGCTCGGGCAGGTGGGCAGGTGCGTCCTCGGGCAGATACGATGGCAAGTGTGGCAGCTGCGTAGTTCGGGAGCAGGCCTTCAGCGCCAGCTCCAGCAACGAGGGCACTCGGCTCGATTTTCTTGATGCTCCCACCAGTGGCGGCTCTGGTGTTTGCGCAAGGTCCTCAGTCTCGAGTTTTGCGCCTGACTTGGTTTGGTGGTCGGGCAAGTGGTACTTTGATGTGATGAATCCTCGGCTGTCCTCGAATTGCACTGGTGTTCTAGCAACAATTCTCGCGCGCCACGTCCAGTTTCGGTGCTTGGCGAGCTCGGGATATTCACGGCCATCTTGGAAGCCATCCTGTCGGTCTAGCCAGAGCTTCATCGTTGAACGTTCATCATCCATGGATCTGTCGTCAAGCGAGAAGATGTGCTCCACGTTTTCCAATTCCGACTCTTCCTTTTCCGTGGTGAATTTGTCCCCATGGAACGAGTAAAAGTAGTTTGAATGGATCATCAAGCTCTTTAGCTTTGATGGATAAGACAGTAGGTCCAGAAGTTCGCCGGGCAGATATCTAAGCCTGTTAAGGGATATGTTGAGGGTCTGGAGGTTGCGAAGATTGCCAATCGCTGGCGGAATCTCTGTGACCTTTGTGTTACGAAGAGTGAGATATGTGAGGAACTGTAGATTGCATAGTGCCCCAGGCATCTTGGTCAATGGGTTCTGACTCAAGTAGACCTTGAGAGAAGGATCCTTTTGCTCGAATGGCACACCTTCGGCAACCGTTGGAATACACTCGAGTCCTGACAGGGGCGCAATTGTTGCATTCGACAGTGTCTCGAGGTTCATTGATCTGTAAACCGGTCAATAAAGGGACGCGCAATTACAATGCAATACCGCTGAGTATGATTGCATGGTGTCCGCAACTGCGAATCCAATACACGGACGCTGCCAAACCCAATAGCTGGTACAAGGATACGAGACGCTGAAAGAAATCATGCAACGCTTTGAACGGCTGCATGGAGGTGCCATGATAAGACGAATATAGTCAAGACTCCATCCAAACTCTGACTGCACCAACATCTCGACCACCGGTGAAAGACGACCAAGCAACATGCATAGCAAGGGAACCTACGTGAGATCAACGTCTTCTGTGCCATTCTCCACGGCGTCAAAAATCTTTTCCCGAGCCAGTTCCTCAGCCCTCGAGATGACCATAGTCTGACGACCCCTATTCACATCGAGCTGCGGCAAGCGCGAGGCAGGGGGCGGCGGTAGCGAGTCTTCGAGTTCCAGGTCGGTAGACGCGTCACTGCCCATCCAGACACCACTGTCAAAGGTGCGTTCAAAGGTTCGCTTTGCCGCGCCCCGAGGCGGCCTAGGCAGCCTGTTGTGATGATGCTGAGATGCACACGACTCCTCGCTAAAGGCCGAGTCCCCCGACGCGGGCTGCTGCTGGAACCAGGACCCCACGTACCGCTTCTTGCGGTGGCGAGGACCGCCCTGGGTGTAGTTTTCGACATTGGGGTCGTCGTCACTCGAGAACATGGCCGGGTCGCTCGAGTTGGCAAAAAGCTGCGCCGCGGCGGCATCGTCGCCACTGCGGACGCGCTTGCGCGCGTTGAAGCTCTGCGACCCTGAATCCCAGCGTGGGAAACGGGGCAGCGCTGGCTCGTCGGCCATTTTGTTCCCAACAACGTTGAACTCTTTTCTTCTTTTTCAAAAAGAACCAATTGGGGCCAGTAAAAGAAAAGTTATCAAAGCTTTTCAAGTTAGTATACTGGCTCGAAATTTTGATTCATGCCAAATCCTTGCTCCTTGCCCTTGGACGATGAGAGCGAGACGGTTCGACGCGTTCAGGAGGTAAACAGAAAGTGGGTCGCTTTTTTAGTGGTTCCCGAGCCTGCGGTCGCGGAACTCGTTAGCGTAGAAGTCGCTACCTCGCTTTTGTGGGGGTCACGTCATGACAATCGGTCATTTCACAAGTTTAGGATCATGTATTCGGATAATTTTGTTGCATTATCTGAAAATCCATCTCAATTTCAAGAGTCTTGTCGAGCTCAATCTAAGTGATTATGAAAAGAAAGTTGCGGGATCTGAGAAGACTGCCGGCCTAGACTTGGATGCCGAGGTATGTTATACTCCAAACTAGCGTACGTAGTGCTATCCTATAGTTCATTCGTGTAATGCTCATTGGAATCAGGTAGGTTAGGTATATTCTTTGGAGGTTACACCACGCAAGGTTTAATTTTGGGCGTTCCCGAGTTAAGTACTGAAGCTTTTGCTGTCATACTATGGTCTAAATTTGTATATCTCCGTTCTGATCGCTCTTTAAAAGATTTGAGCATCGGTCTAACGACAAAAGATATCGTTCAAGATTCTATGCCCACACGTGGTAAACCTGAATTTAATGCAACCGCCTGGCTGGTCTCGCTTCAACACTGAATGGCTCATCTTTCACAACCGATTCTTTAGGTTGATAAAAACAGCCTCTCCTTCGGCCAGCACCGTCCCAGTTTCATCCTCCAGCCAGCCCCTGACCCAAGCCTTGCGCCCTTCGTATTTTGTGATTCTGGCACGGGCGAGCACCAGTCCAGGAGCCTTGACAGGCTTCAAAAACCGTGTATTCAGGTAGCCAGTCATTGCGGGACCCCGAAACAGTGCACCGCGGGTCCGGTTCAGGGTGCATATGAGCCCGGTAATCTCATCCAGCACGGTGCATACAAAACCTCCATGGGCGTAGCCAGGATAACCTCCGATTCCGGACTCGAGGTGCACTGAAATATCAGTAAGCATATAGTCTCTATTATAGTGCTCGGCTCCTCGGGTTCATGGAGCGGTCGCAGATCAAGCTGCTGCCATGTCGAAATCCCTACTGGAAGAGTACACACTGCTGTCTGATCAAGAGTGCGGAAATACAGAAAAAGAAGAAAAAAAGACCTACGGAATGCCTGGAGTTCGGGTAAGAGTGCATTTTCTGGCGTTGAAGGATCAGGAGTCGCATGAAAGAAAACAAAGTGAGGGATAGTGAGTTCCGTGCTCAGAGTGGTGGAAAAGAATCGATCACCAAACTTGGTGGCGCCGTCCCGATCCCACGGCACCGGCCAGTAGGTCACTGGGTCCGAGGCGGAGCGCAACCGCGCGGCGCACCACGGTATGGCTTCAAAGTATGCCGCCGACCTACTTTCTGCGGTTCCCAGTGGGGTTGAGGAAACCATGAGAATTAACGTGTCTGTCCCTAATGCGGGACACGAGTCTAAATACAAGGAGAGTAAGATTGAATTGACGGTAACAAGAGACGGCGATGGTAGATTTTAGGTTTGGGACGCGCCGCAATATGTCCTGGTTTAATGCCGAGGTACAAATACGCACCACCGAGCAGGGGTAACTCGCATTGGCGGTTCCCATTCAAAGTATCAACCGCCGCGCCAAGAAAACTCAAGAAATGAATACTAGGTCTTTTACTTCCTTACAATGATAAACACAATCAAGTTTCGCTGCTCTATCCGCTGCATCAGGTCCCATTTCCTTCCTAGTCGACAAGCCATTACCATGACATTGTATCGCAGCCTTTCTAGGTCTTGTCTATAAGCAGACTCTATTGCTTTCTCCGCACAGTCTGTGTATCCGTGGCTCAGATAAATGACTGTATCCGAATTCATTGCCAGGGCTCCAGTATCGTGACTATTCACGACATGATGCATAGTCGTCTCTGGGGGTCCGTCTGAGCATGAACTTGTCGAAATATGCAGTCACATCGCCAAGTTTCTCCAGCCCAGTTACCAACCCAATGTACCCATCTGGCCTCACAACCACCAGTGCGCCATGCTCGTCCGAAACTCCTAGTTGACGGTGTGCTGCACCGTGGCTGTCGGCGTACACTCTCATCAGCCACTCGCTCGAAAAGGGCTCCGGAAGATCTTCCAAGTCGATTGATGCGTGGCTCATTGCATGTATCAAGAACAGGTCAATCACGTAGCCTCTGTTTGCCGCTGGGATGGTCGTTGTGGTTATGTCCTCGTGCCGGAAACGAGGCAGTTTGTCATAAAACGTCTGATTGAACAGTCTCAACGGAGACTCGGGGAAGCAAAGAGATTCGCCCAATTGCTGGACGGCTGGCGAAAGAAGCCGATGGCCAGCAAAGACGAATATGTGAAATCTTCCGTTGGATGGCATGACGTCGAGCAGGCGCACGTGAGTTCCATCAATGTGGCGGACGAGGCTCACAGGGAGTAGACGCTTCCCCGGCACCAGAGGTTCATCGGCTGACAGATCGACCCTGGAGCCCATCTCGGGGTCGACGACCAGGTTTGCAGGGTACTGGTAGCCACATCCGCTGGTGAATCCATGCCCCATCTCCCATGTTGCTCGGAGACTATGATCTTCAAACTTGTCCTTTTGGGCGAATTGACGGGCAAACGCAGCGTCAAACTGAATGACCTGTTGCGCAATCTCAAGCCTCTCAAGTTCGTACGTCTCCAGCAGGATGGGACTGGCAAGGCCCTTGAGCACCAAGGCCAGTTTCCAGGTCAAGTTGTAGGCGTCTGAGATACTGACATTCATGCCTTGGCCGGCTTTGGGACTGTGTGTATGGCAGGCGTCGCCGAGCAGAAAGACGCGTTGGCCGTGATCAATGAAGTGGTGAACGACACGCTGAGACACGTGATACTTGCTGATCCAGACGATGTCTGTCACGTCCATCTTGTAAGGATGGATGACTTTGTTGATGTGCGATTGGACAAGGCTTGTCAACTTGAACGCGGCGTCATCCAGGAGAGTGTTGTGCGTTGGATGCCCATTTGTTCCTATTGCAGCAGTGCGAGCGCCATTGTCCGGGACCTGCAGGAATATTCGAAGACCCTCATCCTTTCGTGGAATGAGCATGCAACCACCATCTGGTGTTTGAATAGCGCAGCGGCGACGATAGTCTGGGAAGTTCGTGTCGACCAGGACGTCTGCCACGGCCCATTCCACCTCGCCGCCTTGGGAAGTCGTTTTTATCCCGGTAGCCTTGCGTGTTGCGCTTCGTGCTCCGTCGGCACCCAGAATGTACTTTGTGAGCCAAGCCTCGATCGCTCCGCTGGCATTGTTCTTGATGTATGCAGTCACCGGCCATTCATGATCATTGTAGTTGTATTCATAGTGTAACAACTCCATGAACCGGTGTATGCATTGCCCTTGCGACTTGAGGTATTTTTCGAAAATGTCTTCAGTCATACCTTGGTCCGTATTGAACAGATACTGATAGGGTGTGGCTACAAGGTGTCAGTCCCCCGCATTGAGCCATGGAATGATTGGATTGTTTACGGTGAATAACTTCTGCGCCAGTGAAGCTCCGACTGAGCACTCCCGTGCCATTGCGCATCCAAAACGATGTTTCAGTCAAACGATGGCCTTTGCCGTCAAGGTCATGAAGTAAGTCCATTGTCTGTAATATCTCTTGCGTTCGAGGCTGAAATGCTGTTTCCTCAATCAGAGACCGTTGCGGAACTTTGTAGCTCAAGATTCGCTTACCGCTCGCATGGCCGGTTTGAGTTCTCGTAGGCCGTTTGTCAATTACACAAAAGTCGACATTGTACCTCTGAAGTGTTGCAGCCGCCATAACCCCAGCTGGGCCGGCACCAACGATGAGGACATCTGTGCGCCTCGTTCGAAAGGCCGTCGGGTGATCATATGCGTCGACAGTCATGATGAATCAAAGTCAAATGGTATCATATCCATCCATATGCGACAAAAGGTTACGCGTGATTCGGTTGTATTGCATGTTGCTGCGACATCAAGACCTCTTATACACTGCGCAAAAAGCAAGGCGTTTTTGCTGTCGTACAGATCAACTGAAATTGAAAACTCACCGAATGCTCTTTTTCGGTGAGCCGAGGCCACGCAAAGTACACTCAGTGTGGCCATGCCTCCAACTGCTTGCCGCGGGGCTCATCTAGGCACTGAGGCCATTCAGGCAAAACAAAATCAATCAATCAGCAGCTCCAGCGTGTGTTTAAAAGTCGCATGTGTGAATCATGATCAGACCATATCTTCAAGCTACCTATGTGTCTGGGCCAAGGGCTGTGAGCTGTACACCGCATATGACTCAATGCCTCGGCAGATACTCCAACGACTGTAATTGCTGTCATGTCACAACCCTTTCGGAAGTCCGACCAGGTGCTTGATCGGTTGGGCAGAATATTGTGTAGACCCCTTGAATTATCTTGTTCTCCAGTCGAGGTTTTCTGCTCCGGAGTTGATGTAGAGTCACTGGCTCACAAGCAGGATCATTCTGCAGAACACACGTAAAAAGCTTGCTTGATACCTGATCTTGGCGTTGTAGAATTGGACTATTCCTGCCATGACCTCAACTTGAAGGGTCTCATAATGTCAGAAATGGAAAAGAATATTCTGCAGCGAGCTTCTTCGTGTTTAAATTAAAGATCTTATGTTCCGCAGCGCTACCAGCCGTTCATCGGATTGCCATTCCTGCAATCTCGGAACAAGGGATAGAAAGCATACTGCAGTATGCACAGTACATCTACTCTTTGGACCAATTATGGCGCAGGATTTGTTTTCACTTTAATTCAGGCGCTAGGAAGTCTTGGCAAGGCGCCTCTGGGTTCACAGTTGAATCGGCTATGATCGCTGAATACCGTGGCGTACAAAGTCCTTTGAAGATAACTGCAAAACGCCTACCATCGATACAGCTTGGAAAACGCTATGCGACACGGCCCAAGAAGGACCTGCTCAGATTCTTGTGAGCGAAAATATTAGGAGCTTGCGAGATACTGCATACTCCAGGACCATAGCTCCTCGTTGCACAGCGTATGCTTGTTATTATTGTTGTCCCTTGCAGGAGCCCCTGGCATCACTGCCATTATGGCTATCTAAGGATTAAAGAGTTCTTCATTCTCACGCCCCCATGGTAAAAATACAATCCAAGGTGATAATTTCGAATTATTCTTGAGCAACTTAGCTACACTGTGTTGTTCAAATTACCAGCAAGACACATCGTTTGGATCATAGATGAGTTGACTGCAATCAGGTTGCACTCTCTTGTAGCCACATGTTCCGCTCACGAATGCAAACTCGTGATCATTCCTACAAGATGGAAGTTTATCGATTTGCTCAGCAAACATTTGCCAGCAGTGCCCGTCACCGCTCCACTTATCCTGATACATGGCTGTCTGAAAGATCATAGTTGCCACAGACGCGACCGAACCGCCACGTTGCAGGAAACCTTTAGTCACAGGAGGCCATTCTGATTGGTAGCTACGCAAAACCGACAAAACTTCACGTTCCGATGGAATTCTGTCTCTTCGGAGACACTCGGCAAAGTAGTTTATCATGTTTGTGAAGCCTTGCCGCATCGATTTGTTCGTTTTCAGGTTGTTTCGGACGCTGGAAGGTAGCTCTGTAAGAAGATGATTGTTTGAATCTACCCATTGTGGCCCGGTACGATGCCCGATATCGTCGTTCAGCATGTCGTATTGAACTTCAGCAACACAAAGAAGGGCAAACTTCGTGCGTGGGCTAATGAAGCCGCCGAGGCAATCCCCACAGGTACAACCATACTTGAGTCGCAATGTCTTCTGTATTGCCAAGATATCGAATCCAATCGGTCTGCTGATCTGCTCGGCCGTGACCGCCACTGCTGCCTCGATGTCCCGAGGCGAAAGAGTTGAGAGGTCAACCGCTGAGAAATTCTGAAACGCAGCTAAGCAGGCAATAGCCGAGGCCTCGTAGCCGGTGAAGTCGTCAGAGACCACACGAGTCAGTTGGGAATCTCCTTGTCTGGTCCTCTGCTCCTCTAGCTCTCTCTGAAGCGCTTCGGCCGGCGTGTAGCCTTCCTGGTTTCTCAAGGTGACTGTCTGGGGAGCCCCTGCTATGATCAACTTGACTAGCTCTGGTTTGCGGCGTAATGCAGCGAAATGGAGCAAGGTATCGCCACAGGGGCCGCATTTTTGACTCTCGAGGTTGCTGGACAAGGCTACTTGTACGTTGCTAATGCATTCGTTTTCATCTGTTTCGGGGTGGCCCAACTTTTGGTACAGCTCTTTCAGAATGCGTGGAATGGCATTGTCTTCGGGTGCCGCCTCTGGCTTTTGGCAGTCCTGTTCAAGCTCCAATTGCCTTGATGGATGCTCAACTGAATCCGTGAATGCGAGCCAGGAAGATATACCAACTCTTCGAAACCCTAGAGATTTCCAGAAACATTGAGCGATTTCTTCCTGTTTCTCCGGCGGTTCCTGCGCGCTTGTGGCTTCCCGAGTCAGATAGCCCGGCCTGACCAGGGCAAAGAAGCCCACATGCGAGGCAACCTTTGTTCTGGTTGTCTCCAAGATAGCTTTGACAATCTGTCTTGCTATACCCTGTCGTCGCCATTGCCGATCTATTTTTATTTCTTCAAAGAGCAGAAGATCACCGTAGTTGAGCTCCTTGCCCCAGACGCCAGTGCCTTTCCGGACGTCGTGATCACAGTAGTCGCTGCGAAGCCGTCCATATCGATCAAAGAGCTCAAATGCGAGTTTTGAAAGCTCCCGTGAAGGCACCTCCATTTCATTCCAGAATAATGCACGCATCTCCTCACGTCTGATGAGTCTTGCAAGACAGGATCCAATTTTGCTGTTCTTCGACAACGATTGGGCGCTCAGCGCGGTACCACGGATGGTTTCCAACCACAGGTGCCCTTCTCCGTAATCGGAATAGTTGTCGCCTTCATCATCTTCGTCATCATCGTCATCCTCGTCGCCTTCATCATCCTCGTCATCCTCGTCATCATCTTCATCAGCGTCATCCTCGTTATTGTAATCACATTCATTGGCTTCTTGATCCTCATCATCGCCTTGAACGAATTCACTGTTCAACCGGTTCTTGATTAGATCGCACTTCGTTCGCCCCAATCAAAAGAGGAAGACCATAGACTGACCCGTTGAAAAGTGTACTGTCATAGTTCTCCAGGTCTTTTCTCATGTCTTCTATGGAAAAAGAAGGCATTGGGTCGTTTCTGGCGCCTTTGCGAGTCGAACCAAGCTTTACATCGATGCGAACTTGCCGATCAGTGGACTTTGTAAGAATGGCATGGGCGACGGCGGAGGCATTATTGGACTCCGGCTTGGACAACTTTGAAGCTCTCTCGTCTTCACCAACGCTGTCAGGGCTGTACTGGCGTTTGATGCCGGCCATGTTGGGGAGTGGTGGGTGATGTTTAGCCAACAATCTGGCGACTGAGTTGGAGATTGGGTTTGAAGTTGTGGGCAATGCCCAGCAGTTTTTTTTTTTTTTTTAAGCTCAGAAAAAGTGAACAAAAGGCAGCTCACAGGAGGAAGCGCACAAAAAAGAAGCATGGTGCCTAAATATTGGCTGCTTGGACAAGTATGAAAGGTGTATGCACGTAGTGTGTTGGGTGGCTGTGCTGCCGTTGCTGCGTTCTGGTTCTGTACCAACTGCATTTAAGCGCCAGCATCGCACCTCACACACCCGATAGCCAGAACCAATTACCTAGGTTTGCGAGACCCGCTGCCTAGATGGTTCCGACATGTCATGAGTCAAACCTTGCTTCGAGTGAGCTGAAAGAGGTTCGCAGCGGAGATCCTGTGGCACATTGGACAGGAGTGTTTTACGCCCGCGTGTCAATCCAACAGCAGCTAATTGGTACTCCCATCTGATTTTACTCAAGCATCTTTTTCAAACCTTTAAAATTGTTGAAAGCATGAATATTCATTCATTCTAATTAGTCTCTTGGACAATGCATTTTATTCTTGCCGTTATGCAGTAAGAAGCGAGATGTCGAGCAAGGAAGATGCGGCTGATGTGTTCCTGCCAGGCTCGAACCAGGGATTCGAAACAGAGCAATATTTACTTATACAATGAGCGCAAGATTCCGACCTAGGCAAGTCTCCAAAACTACTGATAGGCCGTGCAGATTCCCCAAAGGATCACATCTGACTGAAGCGGAGACTTCCCCAGGTCAGATAGAGTGGGACGGACGGGGCTGCTCCGGGATGTCAGCATCCGGCCCGTGCCGGCGATCGGCGAATTTGCGGGCGTAGCAACTGAGACGCCGGAATTGTTGATCATATAGAGCTGTACACGTAGCGGTCTCCGGTCAGGGCCTGTATGGTCCATAGCGGAGAATTCCACTGCCACTTCAGATTCGCACGGGCTCGCATATTCTATCACTAAGTGCTACCAATTGGCATGGGGCGAGGGCCCTCGGAAGTACCGTAGGTAGGGTGCAAAACCCGCCCTTCTGGTTAGGTTGTAACATGACAAAATTATACTTATAGGCTTTTTGCCGTCATCGTAGGAAATCGTGCCAGTACCAGTAGTTGCTACCCTAAGTCAAGGTACCTAGGCCAGTGGACATTTCAGGCAGGAGCAACTGGGACAGTACTATGTAATTGCTAGTACTTCTTCCAGTTTGTTATGCCCACAAAAGTTTCCCAACTTCACCAAGGCAAAGCAGAAACAGACACTGAATTCATCATCTCACTGGCCGCATCTATTCTCCTTTCGTGGACAGACGTGATCTCAATTATTGTTCCAAATACCCATATCACCACTTCAGCCCTCGCCCTTCAATCATGGCCCCTCAGAATCGTGTCGGCAAGCGCCGAACCAGTCTCTTCGACGCAATCAATCGCATCGAAGACGACAGCGACGAGCAAATCTTTGCATTAATGCGACAAATCGGTGAGAGCGAGGTCGCATCCGAGGGCTTCCGATATCATTCGTCGGCAACACAGGCCGTACAAGACCGCGTGCTCAAGGCCTATGAGATGTTTTTGCGCAAACTCAGGATTCTCCCTTCCCAAGAGGAGACGGACCAGATGCCAGAAGATGAAAAGGATGGCATCATGTTTCCTATCGACGAGAACAAACTTTTGAAACAGCTTCGGTTCTTTGTTATCTTTGTGGCTCAGGAGACATCTGGCAGATCGGCTGACTCACTGTCATACTTTGCTTTAGCAAAGTATCGAGCAGCATTGCTCTTCTGGAACAAGCAGCAAGTAGGTACGCCAAACCGAAGCTTGATCTACAATAAGATCACTGAATCGTTGCGATACATCGCAAAAGAGCATGGCATCATCAAAGGCAGCCTAAACCCGAATCGAACGGAGATTGGCCTGCCAGAGTTGCGTCAGTTAATCGACCACGATCTCAGCACGACCTCATACATCGCAGTAGCAGAGGGCCACCAATTGGCATGGTGCCTGATGAGACTCTGTTGCTTGCGGCCAGGAAGTATCGGATGGACCAGCCAAGACCATAAACGCGACAAGAAGTACCTGGTCTGGCGAGATATTGAGATCTTTCGAGGTGATGTGGCAGGAAGCTTTAATGTCACAATTACCTTTCGATCATTGAAGACGAACTTTGAAGATTTGGAGAAGGCCAATCAGAAAGCTCCCAGCCTGGACACTGTTCGAGTCACCCTCCCCTCCCCTCGGTCTCATGACCACCTCATCTTTTCCATCCCACACAGGCTACTTGTTATCGCGCTGCGTCGAGGCATATTGGCAGGTTTTGATGATTTGGATAGCCTCCTGGCCGGCACAACCCGCCAGATTCACGTAAGTTCTCAAAGTCCATACTTCTAAGTCGAATTCGGCTTTGCCCAGGGATACATTCAAGGTATCTTTGCTAATTCGTTGGACATAGTTCAAGAAACAAACCTTGGATCAGCCTGTGATCCGTGCTGGAAAGGCTCGAGGCCTAGGCATAAGCGAGGATCCCGCCTCTGCCCAATCCCTCTCAGAGTACCTCAGAACGCGAGGTGCGGCGATTGGATATGGTGAGCAAATAACTTCCTATTCCATTCGTCGCCGGTCAGCCACAGATCTGGCCCGACAGATTGGCAGAGACGACGCCAGGATGTTGATGAACCACGATCCCGACTCAAGAGTGCTGGAAAAGTACTACTTGAATCTCTCGGGCTTTACGGATAGGACTTCCCTTGGCCTAGGACTCACCGGCACCGAGCATGACCAGAGTGAGACACTCACTGCAGAAAACCATCCTCTGGCGATAGGTGCCATCGGTTATAACAATCCAGAGGCCATGATCAAACTTCATGGAGCAGCGCTCAATGCTGCAATGGCAAATGCAATGGCCCAGCATGGACCGATCACGGGTACTTCCCACGAGAAGAAACTCACACTAAGAAGACTTCGTTATGCTGTCAAAAAGTCTCTTCTGAGTGACGAAAGCCAGAAGCTGCGAGAGACAATGAGTACCATTGAGCATAGTAAACGTGTTCAGATGCTGAACAACTCAAAGATGACTGATCTCATTATTGAGACATCAAGACTAGCAATGGAGGATAAGGCAGCTCTGGATGACGACTCGAATGACCCCTTGGTAGACGAGGCCACCGGGTTCTTCAAGGAAGCCAGCGATCATGAAGACTCCCCAGAGGAGGACCTCGAAAGTTTGCTTGTGCCTGGGGATGATGCCGTCGAAAGGACTGTCGAGGACGAGGAAGACGGGGAGGCAATGAATGACTCTCCCGAGATTCTCTACGAGATTCTTCTCGATGGTACCATGTCACAGCATCAGGACTGGAAGAACAATCCTTTGCAGTATCCAAAATGCATCGACGACGATGCGGTCTCTCAGAAGCAACAGGTATAACGCTAGGTTTATTTGAATTACGGTTGCTTAAAGGGCAAACTATTAAAAAACCTTAAATTGCACGATAAATAGCTAAAGTTAATTAATTAATAATTATTGAAAATGCGAAAAAAAAGAAAAGGAAAAAGGAGAAAAAGAAGAAGAAAAAAAGAAAGAAAAAAGAGAGAAGAAAGAGAGAAAGAAGAGAAAAAAAAGAAAAAAAAGAGGAAAGGAAGGGGAAAAAGAGATAAATAATGGAATAAGCAAGAAAAGCTCAAGCGCCATATGGGTTTGTACTACCTCCCACACTCCCCTGGCACTGCTGGGAGCGCCAAGTTGAGCAAAACAATAAAGTTCCAGGTGGTTACAACTATCCGTACTGCCTTGAGCTGGGCGTTGTGTCGACGTATACAAGCATCAGATCCGTCAAGCGTACGTCAGGGCAGATTCATCGCCGGAACCGAGCAGACAGAAAGACAAGCGGCACTCAAACAGGCAGCCGGCTGGTACGATGCCGGGAGGGCACCATCATTAATTTGTACAGCCCGTGACGGAGGTTCCCAGTACACCTTCAGATTCTCACGAGATCGCATATTCTATGACTATGTTGGACTTGACTCGCTTCTTTATATCTATACATGAACACAATCAATTTAGTCAGACAATATCAATAATCCATTTTTTCATCGATGCTTATGCTAATTTCAGTAAGTTACACACGTTCAATCACACCCGATTTCTGGGTTAGGACTGGGTTGCTCATGAAGTTTTGTCTCAAACACCGAACATCTCACGATCATTGATCTTTTGCTTGACGGACCAATACTGATCCCACCACGGCTTATCGCTCTTCTTGGACGGCGGAAGTCTCAGGTGGATGGTGTGCCGTTCACCCTTTTTCTCAGCGGCCTGCTTCTTGGCCACGTGGTCGCGCACCTCGTAGTGGTCAAACATGGCGACGGCCTGGATCATGTAGGCCGTGGCGACGCGCTGGTCCTTGATCAGGAACAGGTTCTCGGCGTTCTTGGAGTCGGCCGCGTTGCTAAAGTTGTGCGAGCCCGTGTAGACGCGCGCCGTGGGCTTGTCAAAGTCAATGACGACAAACTTGTGGTGCATGCGCGCGCCCGAGCCGCCGGCCGACTCCTCCTCAAAGTCCTCTGGGTACGCGACCGGCGGGTTGCCGTTCTTGCGCGCGTCCAGGCCGCCCACCGACTTGTCCGACAGGCCGTACACCATGACGCCCTTTTGGCCCATCTTCTTCTCAATGGCATCACGAATGACGCCCGGCGTCTCGTACAGAAAGGCCAGCGAGTAAAAGAGGCTGGACTCGCAGGCCTTGATGTCGGCCGCGATGCCGTCGAGGGTGCCTTCACTGGAGCTGTGCGGCGAAAAGGTGACCTTGGCATCAATGCCCAGGCCGAGATCGGTCCACTGCGAAGATGCCGTCTTGTAAAAGCCGTCCGTGTCGTTGGGGTGGTCCCAGTAGTTGTCAAAGGCGTCCCGGAAGACCTTGACGGGCTGCGCTCCTTGCAGGGCGACGAGGTTGTTGTTCTGGACGTACAGACCGCGCCAAGAGAAGTTGGTCGATCCACCAATGGCAATGGCCGTCTTCTTGCCGTCCACGACGAGGACCTTGTTGTGTTGCAAACTGCCCATGTGCTGGCGCTGGACATTGTCCTTGCCGGCAGTCTTGCGCAGCATGTCGGCCGCCTTGGACTCGGCATCCTCTGGCTTGTCGTGGGAGCTCGAATCGTCAATGATGATCTTGAGGCGTTTACCTAGCTTTTGCAGCCGTTTGACGATTGCCGGCTCGTTAAAGTCATAGGCCAGCATGCGGACTTCGGCCGTGGTATCCTCTATAGCTGCATCGAGTGCGCTAAGAATAACCTCGCGTGCCTCAAAGCCCATCCAGGTCAGTGCCTTTTCTTCCATCTCGGCATTCTTGGGCTTAAAGTCGAGGCCATCGTCGGCCTTTAGCGGCAAGAGATCTCCCACACCATCCGAGCCAAACTTCTTGAGGAAAGCCTTGGAAGAGACAAAGCCTCGAGTGAAGGCAATGTTCATCTTGCCGGGGTACGTCTCGGCCATGAGCTCAATGGCCACCTCTTGTTCCTCCCCATAAGTGAGAGCATGGTCGCCTTCGCCTCCCTTCATGAAGACGGGCGTCACCTTGTAGTGGAATTTGCCCGGTGTCTCAACGGAGAATGGGAAGTGAACCCATCGGAACCTCTGATGCGGCGAATATCGACTGGAGAAGGCGTCGGGACCTTCTCTCTGGGCCTCTCCGGGAAACGTGAGATAGTTGGGAATGGAGCGCCACTCGGAGGATTGGGGCTCCCGGTACTCAATAGCGAAGCCGACAAAGTCATCCGGAGGCGTGCCATTCTTCCAGTTCATGGCCAGCATAGAGGCTCCCTCTCCGCGGTACGCCGCAAAGGTAAAGGGTGCCTTGGAGTTCTGGCCCTTGACTAGAGAGTCAGGAGGCCTTTGGTTGCTGGCTGCCGTGAGCTGCCACTTGGGTCGTGCAGCCACCTTGGGCGCGGTGGGACTTGGGGCAGGACTCTCAGCAGGCCGTTTCTTGGATATCCTCGGCGTCTTGGGCCTAGCTTTGGGTGACTTCTTTGCAGCTTCAGGCTTGCTAGGTGCCGGCTCCTCGTCTGCACTTTCGACATACTCCTCGTCGTCCAATTCTTCCATTTCCTCATCTTCGGGCTCCCATGAATCATCGACACGGTGCTGCTGCTGCTTACGGCGCGGCGACTTCTTCTTCTTTGGCTTTGACTCTGGCTCTGGCTCACCCAAATCCTCGCCCAGGTCATTGACCATCTCTTGCACCGCAATCTCCTCATCCTCGAGCTCTTCATCCGAGGGTTGGTAAGTGTCATCAGTTTTAGTCCGCTGGATGGGCTTCTTGGGCCGCTGCGTCTTCTTGCGAGGAGTAGCCGGGGATTGCTTCTTGGGGGGCGGGAGGTCATTGTTGACCATCTCCTCCACCTCTAATTCCTCATCTTCAATGTCCTCATCTGTCGGCTTCCAAGCCTCGTCCTCGTCGTCATGCCTTGTTCGACGTGCAGTCTTTTTCTGACGAGGACTGGCGGATGCCCTGGAAGATTTTCCTTGCTTTTTGGTCTTGGGAGCTCCATCTTCCAGGTCGTCTTCCAGTTCCTGATCAGCCCTTTCTCCCGCTGCATCCGCGGGCGAAGGCCTCCAAGCCCCGTCTTCTTCCTCTGTCCGCGATCCTCTGGCCATGTCATCGATTTTCCTGCGAACCTTGTCCGGAATGGGGAGGAGCTTCCAACACCACATCGATTATATGCTGCGCCTCAATGGCAGCTGCGTCAATACTTGGGGGGTTGAAATAATGTGAGAACTGATATCTTAGAGTTGAAATCTCAGCGCCCTCCACAAGAGGGTGGGAAGAGCCTTTTGTGATGAGGCAATGTGAAAGTATTGTTAGTTCTGACACCTGAACTGCTGTGTTGAAAAAGGCTTGGCTACTTGAGAAGTAGCTTAGGAAGTAGAATGAACCAATTCAGTCGAACAGGATTGCAAGCGGTAAAAAGACGTCACCCCAAGACAAGGCGGTAAGTAAACAGCTTACAGCCCTGATTCAGGACCCTGTGGGGGCGTTTGTTGTGGATATCGTGATGGATATCGGGTGGACCGACCGCGTTTCGAAGTTTGAACAGCCCCAGCTGCAAAAACAACTTGGCATCACTTTCCATTTCAGATATCTTCTCGTGCAGTTTCTTTTCAAATTTCTTTCTTTTTGATGAATAAACCTACATACCTATACATGAAAATAATACAAAGTCCCGATGATGAACAATAGGGGAGCCGAGCCAAAGACAGCCGCGATCTAGCGATCTAGCCTAGTGATCTACGCGCCAGAGGCATGGGGCTCATTCCGGCTTGTTCATCACTTGTACGCGGTGGACCCAATCAACATGGGCGATCTGTTGTGTGATGCGACCAACAACGTGGCATTCGGAGCTCCTGGCTGGGCGCAATCTGCGTCATTGGCATCCGTGTAGCCGAGCGCGAGGATGTGATGCAGCGACGTTTGGTAGGTTCAAATGCATCTTTCAAAGGTCGGTCTAATTGGGACAATTACTGTGTATGAGCGTCGTGTCTGGCTATCCGGCTCTCGGGCTGAGAATCAGGGGTATGAGAGCTAGCCACAAGACGCGCTTTCGTGCTGCGCCGTCTGATGCAACATATTGCACGTTTTGATCCATCTTTGGTTCATCCCACAATCAATGCCGACCCTTTTACCGTTGGCCTGGACCTTTGCTCATTGAAAGGCGAGCAAGCCGCTTATGATATTGACTTTGGTTGCCAAAAATGAAGGCGTCTCTTGCAATATGCTCTTCGCGTGTGGCAGTCGTTTGGAAAATTTCCGGCATCAAACTTCGAAGCTTTTCCAGCTGTTGTATCTTTGAACAAGAGCCACCACAAACTATCTCATCGCAAGTATACCACGGTCGACTCCACACGACCAAAGGTGTGGTATGAATGTGTCAACATCCGTTTTTACATGCGGGGACAGCTTCTGTTGATATGTCAGTAATGCACGACTGGCTGGCCACCAATAGGCCACAATGACTTGGGATGCTTTGCCAGTCTGCAGATATAGATCCGGGCATTGGTCGAATGACCTGGCCAAAATCCCGGCCGAACAGCACCAGAACACTGCTTTCATCGCAAATGCTCCACCAACATGACCTGCGCTCCTTGAGTTCTCTCTGGACTACGTCCACTTTGCGGAGAACCAAATCACCAAAGTCCCAACTCCGGAGATTGGGCCGAGAGATTGCGAATCCAGATTGGGCCTGTCGTAGCCTTGCCGCATTGCGGATGGTTTCTATGTCTTTCAGGAAGTCGTCTACGACTGAAGAGAAGGTCTTTGGTCTCCTGCTCTCGTCATAATAGAGAACATGTCCCCCACAAGTTTGTATGTGCCTGAATGCATTTGAACCTTCATCGCGGCTGGGTGAAGCGTAGTTGAGAGTCGCATTATTGTCCCTCATTCGTTCCTTTTTATCGGAAAGTCTCAAGTAGGAAAGAACAAGATGTAACACCACGCGTATCTCGAAAACAAGCCATCCAGTAAAAGTCTCGTTGTCGTCCAATACGACACCTCGCCGCTTCGAATTTTGCAGTCGATCATAGTAGTCCCTGTTATCCCGAAGGCTCACCTCGAGACTTTTTGGAAGAACCCACTTGGTACCAGCGGTAAAACTAGCGATCCCCAGTACTTGCACACCTGGAGTCATACTCAACTCTCGGGCAAGTTCAATGGGGGAAGATGACGTCCCAAGCCCACAAGGTTGAACATTGTTTTGCAACAACTCCTCCGTACCCAAGTATACTGTCGCGTGTGCGTAATGGCCGATGAAGGTTCTCAGCTTTGACAGAAATTCCATATCCGTGGTAGTCACTCTGTCGATACAAGAGTCCAGGGTTTGTATCGTAGCTTCCGGATTCTCGGTTCTCACGTAATCCCACTGCACTCCATCTTGTAGTCTCTTGGAAGGGAAAAGTATGGAGGAATGCCCCACGAAAATATGTCCGTTCTTGTAGTCCATCTTGAATGAAACTTGTGCAAGCACTGTCATCAGAGAGAATGGAATTTCGAGGCCAATGCCTTCTGGACGAGGAGATACCGGAAACCCAGGTACGATCATTCCAACGGGAAAGAGATTGAACCAACATGGCGTTTCTTCAGTGTGCACATCCACAGCTCGAATCAATGGGTGGAGTGATAACTTATAAGACCCGCTGGTATGCACCAGAGAGGCTGTCGATAATGCTAAACCACTTTTCTTTGGGAGTCTGAAAACAGCTGCCAGGAATGAGAGCTGAGTCACTGTAGTCGTGATGGCTGGTAAGTCTCCCAACAAGTCCAGAGTTGCTTGTCCATGCTCAGAAGGGTTTGATCTGAAATCAATGCTGATAGCCAACATGCCGCTAGATGTGTAATCAAGCCTTTTGGCCACTGGACATGTTAGCAGTACGAACACCGCGTTAGAAATATACGCTTACCTTTGCCATTGGCCATGCCATCGAGGACAGTGTCCAATAGCTGAAGCCCACTCTTTCCCCACCTGCTTCTAACATAATCTTCACATGACAACGTTTGAGCATTGTTAGCCGAGCCAACTTGGACCAAGACACGTCGACATGATCAGGGCTTCTCGAGACTTCTTCCCGCCAGTGCTGTAACATCTCCCAGTTCGCTTCTACTCGAAGAGATCTTCGACTTGTTTTATGGGTGCTTGTTTGGCGCAAAAGTAGGAAACATCCCGGGGAACATCGTGCGGCATCTGAAGTAGTGGAGATGGCATGGCCTTGGATGGTGGATTGAGAGCTGGGGTTTGTGTGATGCTTGGAGACCTCTCGGCCTGATCTTTCCTTTCATGCTGGAGTAGAGTCTCTTTTGGCATTTTCTTCGACTCTCCCTTTCTCCCCTCTTTTCTCGGAGCCTCTTCTAGCAAGCTCTTACTTGCTTCATTTTCAAGCATCTTATCTGCCCTTACCGGCTGTCTAAAGACATACCGGCTGCCAACTTGCTCTGGGGGATCATGGCGATTATAAGCATCTTCGAGTTCAGCGGGAACTCTCCGTCTTGCCTCTCGCCGAATATCTCCGCTGTCGCTCCTGGAAGAAAGTTAGCGATAGCCATTGCTCACGGAGTGAAAACCTCACAGCCCACCCACAGAGCCTTGAAGTGGTTCAGTAGAAGCATCGGAACTCAAAGTATCAACTCGTTTGAGACTGGACAGATCTGTGATGTAGCTACCTGACGAGATTGCCGACGAATCGAGAGGCCTCGAATACCCGAGAGCATGGCCTTCGCTATCGGCAGCGGAATATGAATCCTGGGCTCCTCCGTAGATAGCATATCTCGGACAGCTGTTGGAGACACGGGACAAGGTAGTTTCTGCAACCGGCGTGTTGGAATCAGATGTTGACAGGCCAAGATCTCCATCAATGGATTTATGGGGTTCCACGGTGTCGTCTGCCAAATAATCGGGGTAATTGTTGCCCTGTGCCTCTTCATCCTCATTTGGCTCATGCCAGCTCGGATTGGATCCCCAGTAATTCGACATGATGATTGCTCTCTTGTTGTGTGAAGAAGTTGAAGTTGTGGTGGCAGGATTGCTAGAGCGTCGAGTTGGAGCATTCAGGTTCGTAAGAGCTGATGGACACTTTCATGCTGATGAAAGAGAATTTCGCAGACAATGTTGTCAGACCTTTACGCTTTCTAATATTCGATTCGCTTGTATATAACGTCGAAGGGTGGTACCATGTCCGATGGAGCAGTCACACGCCCTGCATTACCGTCTTGCCTGCGAACCCTGGCACTTGTATTCGAACAGGGCAACAGCAGCAGCGCCGATCAGAAACACCAGTGACCGGAGACCGCGGGCGTTACGATAGGCTTCATGTGAATATGCTCAAAGGACTAGCGGTCATGGTATATTCTGCCCAGGTATCGGATTCGGCGGTGAACGGTTGGGCATCGGGCCGTCATAGTTTGCATAGACCGCTATTCGTAAGACGTTGGGCTCAGGGGGGAGAGACAAGGGAATGATATATTCGAATACTGAAATGGGTCGCGACCTATATGGCACCGGCCACACGTCTAGTATGCCTAGATGTGAAAGGGGGAGCTTGGGGGGCTCGGAGAACTCCGAAGCAACCGAGTGCTGCTTCATGGACGACGAGATGATACCTACTCTGACGTTAACTCACTGCGAAGTAATGTCTGGGTGCCCAACAGTCCAGAGCCGACACACACAAAACATCGAATCGTATGTGAGTAAACGATCCTTGCAGGTTAAACAAGGCGCAATGGAATACTTATTAAGGTCGAGGCGCAGTGAGCTCCTAGTCTCTAGCTAAATCAAGACTCGGCAATTGTTACTCGAAAAGAATTATGGCTCGCCGAGGCAGTGGATTTGTTTTTAATTTTCGTAGGTAGGCAACAGCCGACATTCTGGCGAGTGGGCTTGCTCTCTGGAATATAGAGAAGTTGTCTGGGTAAGTGATGTATAATTCAGACATGTTCCTTGGATCACTGACACCAACCATTACCCAGCTAGGCAATCAGTTATTCAGCATGTGCGACTCTGTTGAAGCGCCTTACCTGACGGTTGCTTACGCGCAAGCTGCAACCGCAGCAGGGGATGCAAAGGCCTTTGCAAGCTAGCAAGCCAAGGCTCATGGACAGGAGGTTGCATATTCTCTCGCTTATGGCGTGCTGTATGCGTGTGGGGGAAGAAAGTTTGAGACAAACCCTCAGGAAAGACGCTACAGTCGTTCCCCTGGAAGGACTGTATACAACCTGCGGATGACGAAGACTACTGACAACTCATTTCAGGACGAAGGCAGGAAGCTAGAACCCAAGCCACCCGGGAGGTCAGGCGAATTCACCCTCGGCCTCCACTCGGAGAAAATCTTCCTACGCCATTAGACTTGGATGTATAATCTGACCATCAACAATCCCGCAACGGCGTGTGACAGGGTGGCTTGCCTCAAGTCGCCCTGCAAGGCGGGCTCGACGATCATTTGTCTAGCTAAGTAGGTATATTCAAAGCCTCATTGGGCACAACTTAGTCCCGGATACTGCAACTTTCTTCTGTTGAGTAACGACAAGATAGAAAAAAAAGAACCACAGGCCAACATATCCATTCAAACCATGGAGAGCGAGGATGCGCATCATCACGATCTTGCCCGGCGCCGCTTACATGCAGTCGGAGCAGCCGATGCAAGGCAGTATTGCTGCGACAGCGGCTCGCTGTGGTACCGCATAGATGGGTTCGATGACCCAATCTGCTTTTGCTGCAAGTGAACACAGCATATCATATGCATGTCCTCGCATACAGACAGATGTGTGGAATTGAAGCCCCTTGAATACATCCAAACGCCAACTACAACCATCAACTAGTATTCGGACAAGGCATCGGTGAGAGCGTCGCGTACGCAATACAACCAGACAATGGAGGATGAAGGGTTCATGTCTGTGGCATGATCGTCGCTGTCAAGTGGCCGAAGAAGCAAAATGCCAGAGAAAAAAAAGCAAGTTCCCAGCCCACAGATGACACCCCGGTCAAGGAGCTGAACGCTCTGTCTAAAGGGAATGCTACAACCGCGCCTCCACTCAGAATTTGCTGCAACAGGCCTAATGAGTTCATTGCGAGCAGGAGCGGGCTCCAGTATCGTGACTATTCAAGACATCATGCACCGTCTGCCAGGTTCGTGGGTTCAGAAAGATCCACCAGCGCGCGTAACCGTATCTCGTCACACCTGTATCGGGACTAGGGAAAGGGAACAATGCAAAGAAGGAGCATCGCAAATTGGCGGCATATGTCGGCTAAACGTGGAACTATTGTCGCAATCTTTCCAGATGAGCTCTCGACATTTTGTACCCCGGTACTGAATCCGACGATGTGTCCGACTATACAGATTATTGTTGTGCTACCGGCCCCACCCGCGTCGTATCTGTTGGCCAACGTCGGCTCCCCTGGACATGTTCTTATCACGCTTTCCACTCAAACCTCAAAATGCAGGTTCTCTTGACCGCAACCCCCCTCAGGCTTAAATCAGCTACGTTTGGTACTTTGGTAATATACAGGCGGTGATCACGGGGAACACTGACGGTAGCAACGGGCCGCGTGTTGCAGGTTTCTCCATTTATTGATATGCAAGCCACCCGACCGGATCAGCGGTATGCTTATCGCTCTTTCTAATGAGGGGGCATTTCCCCCAAAATAAAAGTTGAGCTGCATATGTATCTGGATACGTGGTAACGAATCAAGGAAGTTGGCCGAGGCAGTTTCACTGCATTTTGATGACCAGCGACGTGTATGCAGCACCGGCAGTGGCATCGTGACTTACTACATACTATCCTGCACTGCAATTTGGCTCCACGAAACGACGACTTGGATCAAGGGCGGCCCCGGCGGCTCAAAGGGTCGGCTTATAGATTCGGCATCTCGATTTGAATCGTTACATGCGCCATACAATGCAACAAACTCACTGTCAGAAGAAAAATACAAATGATTGATTAATCATAATGTCTAGATTGACTTCTTGGCGCTGTCTTGGAGTCAAGTACCGGAGCCGCAAGACAGCTTTCAAAAGTCAGTCATGTATAGCCTCGCGTAGACGCAGACTCGAGCAATGTCACAAAAGTACCTGCCTATTTCGTACTGCACGCTGAGATCAGCCCATACTGTGTAATCACCGCCAGGTATGATGTCCCCATAGCCTCTCTGGCGGTCAGTGGCATCACTACGTATACTTGGGTAACTGGCTGCGAGCCATGAATTAAACATAGTCACTTTGTTCATTTCACAGCCTGGTGGCTGTGTGGAAGCTTCTGTAATTTGATCCTTGTTGCAAATGGATTCTTTTCGAGACGAGGCGTTCCCCGTTAACCTTAATGACCCCTTACATGGCTTGCTGACGAGTCTGGGACGGCCCATGGCCGGCACGAAGCCGCTGAAGAGGGAAGCTTCTACCGGGCCTATCATGTACTGTTAGATTTCAATTTGACTCGAGAGTGGCTTGGAAACACATGGCTTTGGTTTCACAGCCTTTTCTTCATAGCTCGCCGCTTGACCGCCTGAACAAGGCAGCCTCTGGGCATGAGGCAACGCTTGACCCGACAGTCTGGGTACAATGCAGCCAACAGACGATCTTGGGCATCAATGACTGGAACTAATGCACGATAGTTCTTTACGTCGTGGCTTGGTTGGTGTCTTGCGATTGATGTATCCTGTCGGGACATCTGGAACAAAGGGTTGAAATGTCGCCAGCATGTACCAATGTAAGCAGCATATACGTTCAAGGAATGCCTGATAAAAGGCGTTGGATATTATTCTGGTGTAAACAAAGCTTCTATACCAAGCGCTCGTTGTTCCAGTAAAGTGCCTGACTCCAGAATGCCTTGGCTAGCTGATCAAGTGTACCATTGCACATGAGGCTACCGTGGCTTCAGGAAAACGAGTTCCCGACAAGCCGCGGGTATCCTGGACACGAGACGCTTCCAGCCTGAAGCTCAGCCACGTCAACGTCGCGTAGGCAGTTGAAATAGACTTTATTACCCCTGGCAAGACTCTAGTGTCATGATTATACGCTTGTAATGTGTATCGTTGCACGCCAACCATTGACTAAATAATATGCAAAACAGCCACTGCCACCTCGTCCAATTGGTTGTTTCTTTCGCTCGACAAATTCTTCAAGGTCGGATTCTACCATTTCGTGACTTTGCTGTTTGGTAGTACTGCTTGTCGCCAAATTGATGGCTGCGCGTATGAAAAGTACCCTAAACTCAAACGCGAACGGCACTTTGTGTTGCTTGCTGCTAGGCCAATTTGTGGCTTGCGGTACATGATCAACTCTAGTTTCTGCTTGACAGGTGAGTTGATGCGCGCCCTGAGAGAAAGACCAGTGGCTCTTTACGTCTTGGGGAATGGCTGCATCGTCTTTGCAACATGCCCCAGGGTGGATATGTTTGACGTTTTCAGTTTGTGAAATGTCGGGCGCTGGTCCGATTTCATTTGTAGTCTTCCCAAACAAGTAAATATAGTTGTCATTAAACCTGCGTATGCCTAGAATTCAAGGTAATACCCTCTGATGGCCGATCATGGATTCAGGTCAGTCGGTTCAGCATAGCATCAAAGATACCGCGAGCCGTAATGATAGGAGGTATTGATAGTCGCCCACGAGTTGCATTCACAAAGTTCCATAACAAATATGGCATTACGACAGTATCAAGCAGCCTATACCTGTCAGACTCGTTGTGCCGCCAAGTGTCTTTGTCTACCTTTGTTTCATCGGTAAATAGTCATGACCATCATCGGCTGATTCCTGGTTTCACCCGCTTCTACTTGTGCTACCATCGGGCAGCCCGACGCGAAGAGCCTCAACGGACCAGATTAAGAATATCTGGAGGGTATCACTGCATGTATATGTTTGTCAAATGAACGCGTTACAGTAGACACAAAAGGTGTTACCATCACGGATGAAGCTGCAATGCAAGATAATAATCCCTGGCGATTGACACATCGTACCATCAACATAGCAAACTACCCATGCTGGAGACAATATCCATTTCAATAACTCCGCTCTCGCACTCATTTCGCCAGACCAGACAAGCCTCAATGAAGGGCTATCTACAATGTGCCACCCCTGCGCTTGATGAATCGGTGATGGTCATTGAAGCTCAGTCTTGATATATGCGAAGTGACCATTGCAAATTCAGCTTGATACCATATTACATCCAACTGTGGCCCCACCAGACCCTAGCATGCAGTCAAATAGATGCCAGGAAGGCAAAGATGTCTATGTTACATCACAAGCACTGACTAAATAACTTCATGACAATGAACTTGAAGATTTTGCGATTGGATACAGCGCTGACACTTGCATCATCCAACCATAGCAAAGCTATCCAGATGACCTGTGCACAAACGGCAATCGTACGTGGTACTTTCAGTTGTTTCACGAGATTCGAAGAAAACCCGCACGGCCCTTACGATTCACCTAGGTCAGGCACGAGTACGGCCTCGATGGAAATAGCATCGTTCGGAAGACTGAAAGCGTCTCTGGTCCAGCAGAAGCAACCCAGGGCGGCGATGCTTCATGTCTGATTAACTCTTCTCGCGCGCAATGAACAACGAAAAGTCGTGAGGAGGTTGATGCGTGCAAAGAAGGGACCACCTACAATTTTGCTCCTATGACAATAGGCTTACATACCGACCTCTCCACTGTGTGATGCAGACTTGGATCGGCAGCGACTGAAGAGAAAGGTTCATTGTACAAGAAATTATCGCAGGATAATCGAAAAAGCTCGGAGCGTCGCTCGAAATATCGCAGACTTCTGCTTTTCCTTTCCAGGCCAGCTTAGGTGACATCGCCGTGGCAGCTTCAAATAGGCGTACGATGTCTTGCGCTAAGGATGTCGCGTTCTTATTCGATCGAGCGTTTAGAGGTAAGGGAGTTGGAGTTTCTTGTAATGGAGAACGACGTGAGTTGAACTTGACTGTGGCTAGCTAGAGCGGATACGTTTGGGTCGATACCAAGATCCGCGCGAGCTATCATCAGACTGGCACTACCAAGTGCCGATAGCCTTTGTTATCATCGAAGAATTGGATATTTAATAGTATGGAGGGTCTCGGATCGCAAGATTGTTAATCGTTCTGTCGAGGCAGTGAAGTGGTTGTCTTTCCAGCCTTGTTGATGGAGTTGTTGGGTCGGGATGGACGCTGGCGCTTGGTGGTCGACTTCCAGTCCCATGAGGTCGAAAGAGGAAATGAATAAGTAGTTTCTTGAGTTCAGCATGATATGACAACTGAAGATACTTCCTAAGTTACGTCCGGATGGAATGAGATGATGGTTGTTGCCTCGGTAGCGACGTACGCGCACCACAGCAGAGGCTCTACCTATAAACAATGGACAATCTCTTCAGTTTGTCAGGCGGAAGTTTGAACTCGGATCTGTCCCCTTGTCACTAAGCGCCAGCCTTCTACTGCAGACATGTTCCACGAAGATCAAGGGTAACGGTTGCCTTAATCCTGTTGGTACCATCCTTGGCCACTCCCGCGGCCAGCAGGCGCCTAGGATCATTGAGCCGTCTACTGGATAGACACACGCCGTGTTTCTAGATTTTGGCGTAGCTCTTACAAGTTTAGCTTGACTGTATTTCCTAGAGCGTCGGGAAAGTATTGAATATCTGTCCTTGAGCCGTTTACTCCGTATGATCCTATATCAATCTCGACATCCCTCCCCTCACTCTCAACTTTGTGCAACCTTTGATCCCCCTTTTTTCAGTCACGGATCTAATTTCGTCATGACTTTTCGGTGAAGTGAGGGTCACAGGACGGGAAAGACCCTCTCCGACAGCCACGTTCTCATTGTGGCAGCCTCATGGGGATATTGCGACCGCCTCTGTGCCCACTCAAGGCTTGACGATTTAGCGAAGGTGCCAGTTTATCTGCAACATAACGAAGATTGGAGAGCCTTATGATTCTACGTATTCACTGACACAACCTCGCGGTAATGAGGATGCAACCTCCAAGATATTGCTTTCCGACACATGTGGCTTCAGCCAATACCACAAAAGAGATATGGATATCCAATAATAAGAAGCTGGCTCAGAGGATCGACTGAACATGGGGGACGGCTCGTCCTGTTCCGTCATTTGACGCAAGCCGCAAAAATTCCATGCAGATATGACATGGGGGTTTCAGCTGAGTTGACTCTGGATTGGTTTTCAACAAACATGTCGCTATCTAAGTTTGGCGAAATTCATAGAGAAATCCCGAATCCATTAACCGGTGAGCACCAACCCCAGCACAACTTGACGAATTTGATCCATATACGTTACATCACATGAAATACTTGAAGAGATACAGCAATATACAAATGCGCATAGCAATTTGATTACCGCGCTTAACACCAATAATGATGTCGGATTAGAGAGTTTGGGGAATTCAAGCCGTGAAGAGTATCTCCGACTCCACACCTGCTGGTCATGATTCATGGGCCGTAGCACGCCAGTGAGGCTGCATGACATTTGGTGGACAGACAAGTGTGGCATGCGGCTTTTAATGGTCATGAGATCCACGGGCCGTCTCTCTCCCTGGCAAAGTAATACTCTTAATTTATCAAGGGGGGAGTATAGCTGATTGGCGGTCTGGCCATTATAGACTCTGTAACACGGGATTGGTTCAGAGCCCAGGCTGGAATGCAGTTGCAAGCCCACTCGAGCCCACTGATGATGCGACCCACTGATGCGCGCACAGCAACCTGGTCTCAGTCGCTAAAGCGCTGCCAAGCATAACCCAATGCAACGGGCCGCAGCATATCACAGGCAAGGGAAGTGGTTTTCCAATAGCCTTGAGATATGACCCTTACCCGTCACTGAGGAATTATCCACACATGCAGCATACTTTGAGATCTAGCATCGATTAGACACCCGTTCCGACACTAACATACATGTTGTCCCGTGCTACGCGCCGGAATCTGCTCGGAAGGAACTGATATGGTCCAGCCCACTTTGTAGTTGAATGTTGACCCGGCTAGATCTTGCCAAAGCTCCATCAGATGATAACAACACTTCAAATAGTCGACTGGTCTGTTAATGAAAGAGTATCAATATGTGATGCTGAAAATACACCAGTTGTTTCTTATTTTACCGCTGTTTGATGATGACGACCCAAGTCCATGGTATCAAACCACGATCAAGTTTTAGCTTGTCCCGGCACTGCGGGAGCCCGGTAAAAGCTCCGGCGGGAGGTGGGGGGTTTGTGGCCGCAGTTCTATTGACGATGCCTGTGGATATTTGTTGGCACGCAGGCACTATAGCATTCAAGCGTTACGCCTTTTCCAAACGCCCTTCCGGAAATATGAAGAATAACACTCGATAATATATAACGGCAGAAGAATAATTAAGATATCGTGATATTTGAAAAGAAGGTCCGCTTAAGGATTAAAAATGTGGCTAGATCCTAGCACTAATACCGAACTCCATTTTAATAGCATTTTTATCGATACCCTAGAGAAATTTAACGTTTGCTAAGCATTTAAATTAAGATATCATCTTAGAAAAGGAGAGAGAGAAAAGGAAGAGAGAGAGAGAGAGAAGAAAAAAAAGAGAGAGAGAGAAAGAAAAGAGAGAGAGAGAAAAAAGAAATTAATTTACAAAATAAGCCAGGTTATTATTTTTATTAATCTCATACTGCCCCGCAGCGACATATTATTACTGTTATTTGCCTTAAAAAGTTCGGCGTCACCAACCCGCGAATATCACTCTCCCGTTTCTATAACAAACGCGTCGATCTGGCAGCTCAATCCTTCCATTTTCACCTTTCCATCTTCACCTTTCCGTCCCGCGAATCCATCACAAACCAGCCTCAATAAAAAAAAGACAAGTATCGACCACCATCATTGATATTCTGGTCCAATTTCTTCTGACAACTTGCGCCATAATGGACGTGGATTGGTACGCACAGGATCTTGCCGTGTCTGATGCGTTCAGCGAATGCTCACAAGGTACTGCTCATGCTAATAATTCTTATTGCTGAGACCAATAGCAAGAATTTCTCGAGAAAGGAAGGAATGACCAAGGATAGATCGTATTTTCATGCCAATAACTGCTTAGGTATCAAAGCTCTGCATTCCATTCATCACAAGCCCTGGCCCAGGCGGTGTCAGCCTTGCGATAGGCTTTGGCGACCGTGTTGGGATCGGGCTTGTTGTTGAATGTCTCGAAGTCGATGTAGTTGTAGGGTGCCCACTTCCCTTTCACATCGAGCCAATCTAGAATAATAGCATCTCCAGGCTTGTCCAGACGTGCTCGGACATAGGCCTTCTCTCCAGCCTTTCGACAAGCCGGGGGGTCATATTTCTTCGCAAGGCCTAGGTAGGCCAAAACCTCGCTAATAATGTCCGTGTCGAACATTCCTCGGTTAATGCCAGGATCCGGCAAATCCTAGCAAATTCTGGTAAGCAAGAGAGCATAATGGGCTTTGGGAGGAGTGCAGGTTTACCTTCTTGAAAACACCGACATGGAGGTAAAGCTCAGAGAGCTTGGGCGACTTTGTCTTTGGGCCCACGATTCTGTCGCTTCCATCCCAACTGTCGAAGACTCGGTCATCGACAGCCCTTTCAAGCTGTCTGGGAGTCAGATCCTTGGGGTTCTCCATGTGATGGCGTCCCCAGATGCGAAAGAGTTGCCCACTCTTGGCCGTAGGTGCGAGGTGGTTGCCGCAAGTCGGCTCGTGTCTTAGTAAATACCCTTGCGCTTGCAGAGGATGTCATCGATCCATTTCATGGAGCGTTCCTACTTATATCAGCATATACATACATCGATATATGGAAATACGTGCTTACAAGATTGTTCGTCGCATTTGCCTCCAGATCACGGTAAGTGATCAGCATCGACGTGTTCTGGCTGATGTGCTCATGAGAGTAGGTTGGGTCGCCTCGGAGTGACAGGATCTCCGTGATCCAGGTCGCGTAAACATCCTATACACATGAATATAGGGTATCAAGCGTGTCAGCTGTGCTTACTCACCGAGTCCTTCAAGGGAGCCAAGTCGAAGTCGAACTAGGACATCTTTCGAGGCTGACCAGTCAGACCGTACGGCCAAAACCTCTGGCGGCTAGTGGGGGGTTCTGCGGCCGCAGTTCTGCCATTCACCGACAATGTCTGTGTACTTGATGGCTTCGTCTATCAAATAAATAAATGGAACGAATAATAAAAGAGATAAGCGATGCTTTTAATTCTTTGTAGAGCAATATGTGTCCGTCGATATTCGGTGCATACCAGAGAAGCACCCTACTGAAGTAGCCAAGGTAGCTTTTAGGCGTTGCAACTGGTACAGACGCTCTGTTATGGTGCGCTGTACGCCCTTCTGAGGGACTATGCCGTTTGCTTGTATAGGGGTTGTGTGTTACGTCAGGTCAGTAATCTAATAGTGGGGTAGGGGACAGACCGGCCAGGGACTACTGCGCCGCCACACGCCCTCCAGTATACTATAGAACAACACACATCTACACGATCTGCCTCGAGTTCCCACATCTGCCAATGCACCTCCCGCTGGCGCCGCTCAGACACACGAGCAACAATCAGTCCGCAGCTGGCCAGCAGAGTGGCAGAATGAATCTCTCCACGACGAAGAGGGCGTACAAGCCTTTTACTCGTCGTCATATGACAACAACAAGCCAGCTCCGAATGCTGGACGAAACGTCCACCTGTGGCAAGCCTCCGTTCACAGGCGCAAGGATGGAAAGCTTGGGTTTATGAGCTGTCAACACCCCAGCCCCGACCCCATGAACGCCAGCGACCAGGGTAAACTACATGTTGCCATCACCAAGACTACCGAAACGGAGGATAGCACCGAAAATTCCGTTTCGATTGATGTCGTTCCCGTGGAGGATGTGCCCCAAATGGAGGCCAAAGGATGGCTCATCTGGGAGCATCCCCGTAAACCCATCACAGAGGGTGTGGTGGACAAAAATCCGCGTAGTGAACAAGGTCAACTAAAAGATCAATCACAAGCATCCAGAGAAGGATACTTTGAAGCTCTTCAAGTGGCAGATCTCGCTACTTGAAAAGGCCAACCGATCCGCTGCATGGCAGCCTGGACAGGTGATTGGTGAGGCCGCTGTTGCTGGCCTCAATGCTGCATGCAGCACATCATTCAAATCACCGACTGAATTTCCCGACCAGGGCAAAGTTCATATCGTTATCGCTAGAGTGAGAAAAAAAAAAAAAAAGAAGCATAAAAGAAATTCTATAAAATAAAATAAAAATAAAAAAGGAACTCTTTCTTCTTTCTTCTCTCGTTTTTCTTTCTC